GCACCCAGTACGCGTTTTCGAACCACTGAAAGGGACAGAACAGCAACCCCAAAAGGGAACCTACCCATTTCTTCCTCAGATCCTTTCCAGAACACCGGTCAAAATCCCCAACACGGCTGGATCTTTGAGCAGAAGGATGGATGTCTCCCAGTCAAAGAATTTTCATGGGGGCTGGTTCCGGTTACCCTTGGATGTTCCCTTTCACGTTGACCCCGGATTCACCAACCCCAATATGCTCCCTCCCACCGACCAACATGGGTCTGTGCACACACTCCCCATTCCAAGAGGAAAGTGGTCTTTCTACAGCGGTCTGTGCACTTCCATCTCAGTCGGTGGGAGAGTGTTTGGTCCGTGCGGAACACTCCCTGGGAGGGGAACACCTCCCACCCCCAAACAAAACTTCGCAGGGCCCGGGCTGATGACTTCTGGGGTCTGTTGAGACACGGCAACCGCCAAACCGCCAAACCGCGGAGCGGAACCGAAACAGAATCGAGTCTCCAGACTTCCGACCAGCGTGCTGGAGCCACCCAAGGCCTTGGCCTGGAAAGGCAGCACCACCCGCATCCTTCGCCGGGGACATGTGGTTGGGTCATGATTAGAGTTAGGTCCAGTTATAGAATGTATGTTTTATTGTTTGCTTCAATTTGAGTCACTGGAAAAATGTATAATGTAGTATCCTGAGTCTACCCCAAACCAACAACTGAACAACCCTCTCCAAAAATTGGGTGCGGGGTGCAACCAGTAAAATGTCCAGCTGTCCCCAATGAACCTACTAAAAGTGCGAAATGAGACACATGCTGTACTTTTGGTCGGCCTGCCCCATGAAATGGAAAAACCGTCGGGCAACACACACTTGGTAACTCACCAAGAAAAAGCGCTGGGTGGGCATACATCCCTACTGTGGATGGACGAAATCCTGCACCACTTTGAAACCATGGGAAACCCCTGTTTGGTGGTATTTACCGGGGAATCAACATTCCGGGGCTTCTTAGGTGGTGCAGGATTTCGTCCATCCACAGTATGTATATAGATTGGTGGACAAAAAATGGCTTGTGGACACAAAGTGGTTGGACACACCAATCACACACCCACATGTTGATGCATCAAAGCAGGGATTCCTTCTAGTGCTTCATGCTGCTCCAAACCACTCCGGAGCCTATTTGGGCAGAGACCCCCTGTTGTTGGTAAAGACACACTTTGGTGTGCCTCAAACATTAGTTGGAACCCGCCAAACAATTTCGGTGTCCTTGTAGGCTTCCGCTTAAAACCAACAAGTGGATCCTCTAAACAAAAAAACACATCCATATACCCGACCAAAGTCTGCTGAAACCCCAAGATCCGCGCCCAAGAGTCGGATTTTGAGCTTTTCACACACCGCCAGGTACAAATCGGCGTCTTGTGTATATGTTTCGGGGCTCGCTTGTTGGGTCTTGGCTTTAAAGGGCAAACATGGAAGCCCACCATTCTGGCAGAATCCACTGAAACCAAAAGGAACACCACCATTTTGGGGAAGTCCACCAAAAAAAACAACCACAAGTAGACATATATATATATATATGTATAAATATATGCATATAAAATATATACCAATTCTGGCTCGGCTGCATGGTCACTCCGATGTAGTCGCACACCACGGCGGCCAGAACCAGCCATAGTGCTGACAGCTTCGACGCCATAGGGTCGAAATATCAGTGGCCCCTGGTGGAACATGGGGATTTGGCTGTGGGTCAAAAATAGGTACCCAAAATTGAACCCTGGTAAGTGGTAACATAGACTAAAACCTGCGGTCCAATTCCTGGTAGTTGAATTTTGACCCATACCCATTTGTGCTTTTCAATTCTAGGCTTCTAGGGTTGACTCCTCAGTTGTTTCGTCTATCTGGTAACTCCCTTGGGTGGTTATCTGATGCTGTCTGGAAAGGAGAATCACTGGAAGAATGGTGAAGTTACACCTGCCTACTTTACTGGACATGGAACATCATCTTAGTCGGTCTCTGTGTGTGTTTGGCGGGGTGGTGTGCTTGGGGGGTCCCCCAAAAGGGAGGGTGTCAATAAGTTGCTTCAACACCTTTGCCGGAGGTGTGGTAATTCCAAAAGCAATGTCGCATCACGTGTGGCTGTCAGATTTGGGGGGGCTTTGCCTGACTTGTGTAAGCTCCCTTATGGCCAACGCATGCACATCTGCTCCCCAGGAGCCCGGTGGTTTAGTGGTTGAAGGGTAGTTTCCCATTTCCCTCTACGAAGGGTTACCTGATATTGGACTCTGCAAATACCAACTAACAATGGCTTCCAATATTTTCAACGTGGTGCGAAACGGATTTCGTCCATTCAAAGTATGGGAAAGCAAGCATTTTCAGTTGGGCCCTTTGTGTTTTGTGGTTTGGGGTGGTTTTCATTGATGTTGGGCGAGCCATTGCATTTCACCGACCATCTTGAAAAAGCCAACTTGGGTCTGCGCAGCTTTGCCCAGTGGGCCTTTGCCGAAGCGAGCCAAGCTTGTCCGCCAGGCGAGCTAAGGGGAGCAAGAAGGCGCGGATCCGGCCATGTGGCCTTTCAATCATGGCAACGGCTTCTTTGTGGCTTCCCTTCTAAGCAAACCAAAAGCGGGTCCATCATTTTGAGAACCCCACATTGATACTTGTGGACAAATTCCTGCACCAGTTGGTACCAGTAGATGGCCTATGCTTTCATGGGATGACTGGTACAGGACGTTGTCTTTCCCACATCTAGCGGCTGTTCGAGGGCTCCAAGATGTTTTTTTCCTCGAAGACAAGTCAAAACATGACCCAGCCAATTGGGATGGCCGAACCACCCCCAGCAATCAAGACAATACCTCGAACGGTAGCTTCCATGTCCATTCTTTCCAGGGATCCTTCTTTCTAAAAAAGCACGAAAACCCTGGGGAAATGGCTGGCTTTTTGAAAAGAACGATGGCTGAAAAGAATGGACATGGAATCAACCCCTAGAATACTTCTTGAACTCCGTCCAGTGACCACGCCAAAACTGACCATTTCAAGTCTGCAAACCAGGCGTGAGCAGGCGACCTGCCGGTCCCAAACTTGGACCTGCGGTGTTGTTCGGGTGTTGGCCGGTCAAATGGAACAAGGACACTGAATCGGTCAAATGGCGGTGGGTCAAAAATAGGTATCCCAAATGGCTTGCCCTGGCAAGTAGAAACATGGACCAAAACCTGTGGTCCAATTCCTGGTGGTTTAATTGACCCATACCAGTTTCCTCTGCACTTCGGGAGTCCATCTGATTCGCGGGGCCCAAACGGAATTTTCTAACCGATTTCTCCAAAGGAAACCAGGAGCATCGTGGGAAATCAAGAAATGCTAGTGTCTCATTTTGTTTGAGGGTACACCCACTCTTGGTGGTTCCAAGGGCAAGCAAGAGGAACACCCGCATTCCTGTTGGGGCGCCCTTAAGAAAGGCAGCCCCACACGGAGGGAACCACAAAAAAAAAAAAACGAGACATGGGGCCTCAAGAATTGGGCCCCAAGTTGCGATTTCGATCCTCTGCATTTTTGTCGTGGTTGACGTTGGAAGGGGAGCAAAACAAATAAAAGTGTAGCAGCCAAGTGGTTGGATTTCAACCACAAAACCACAATAAGCAAACATGTAACATGTGTCCCAACAACAACCATGCTATGGTACTGTGGATGGTTGCGAGTCATCCGCTTCTCGCACCATGAAATGAAACAAACCATGGTTGAAACAATAACGTTTAAGTTGGTATTTACAGGGGCATCATAAATCATTCTAGGGTTTCTTGGGTGGTGCGAAATGGACTTCGTCCATCCACAGTAGGACACTCGAGCACTGTGTAGACCTGCCAGCTTCCGCATATCCATTTTTCTTCTCTCTGAAGCCCAGCTTCCGAACTGCGCGTCTCCAGCCGTGCGCCCGGGTTTCCTTTTGCAGCTCGGCTTGACTTCTAAGGAGACCCAACCCCCACCATGTCCCGGTTGCCTCCCAGACTGAGGCGTTAGTCAGGTAGTCAGGCCTGAAGGGTTCTGGGGGAAACAGGGGGAGGCAGAAAATGTTGGAGGGGCCCAGGAGGAGGTGGGGGACGGTTGGGATCCTACGAAAATATTGTGATAGGCGTTCTACACATGTTCTGTGCAAAGGTGAAGGTTTGGGACAATGTCCTTTCACATGTTCCTTGCTCATTTTCCAGGTCTGCTGCGTACCGTTTTGGTGGAGGGGGTTTACTTAAGGGAAATGACTTGGGACATTTCTGATGTGTCAAACTCCGGGGACCCAACAATCATGGACCCCTAAAGGGGGGGCTATGGGGAGGGGGGGCTATCGCTTCTGAACCGCTTGTCCCGAGCTTATCCAGGGGTAGCCCCCCCCCCATAGCCCCCCTGGTGGCTTCCATAAAACAACTTGCCTTCCTGTTGGTTTCAGTTAACCCCCCCCCCCCGCCCCCCCGCCCCTTTTCGGCAGGCGAAAAAACACTCGATCGCTCAGCGGGGTAAACCCCCGCGGTTTGTGCACCTCTACAAGGAACTGGATCCTTTAAATCAGCGTGTAAGGGGGTGATGTGCTAAGTTGGCCCACATGGGTGGTGCGTGTCTCAAAATTCGGCGCTCATCTGGCTGGTTGGCTTTCTGTTTGTTTCCCTTTGGCAACCCTTCCCAAAGGTGTTGCCTGTGCGACGGACCCAAATGCGGGTGTCTTCTTTTGGGTGCTCCTTTGTTGGGTTGGTTTACGGTGAGCCACAAGGAAAACCACCCTTTTGGGGGGTCCCATTCCAAAAAAGAAGAAGAAGGACGCAGCCACATGCTTTCAGGTAATGTTGACCCAGGATCAATAAATCCGTCCCATTACCGGGGGGGGGGGGGGTTCCCTCCAAAAGTGATGAACAACCAGGGGTTTGTTAATCCAGGGTTAACATGGCTGTGGGTCAAAACCAATGGTACCATTTTGGGTAGGTGAATTCACCACCCATTTTAGAACCTATTTTTAGTGGGGTTTGGGATGTTCACTGGGGGTACCCACGAGTCCTGCTACCATTCTCGCGGAAACCCAGGCGCTCCGACGTGAAGGCGACGAGCGCAGTCTCTCAGAGGCAAGCCGCCTCCTGGCGGGGCGAAATGTCTGGACCCCTAACTTTGGCTAGGTCCTCCAGTAGAAGGTTAGAATACGGGTACCAACTTTTTTTCTGTAGTCTATTTTAGTAGGGGAACCCTCCCCGAAAAAAAGGGTAAAACGGCACTACTGGGAAACCTTGTTGGTTTTCAGGGAGGTTGAGACAAGCCGAAACATCGGTTTAGGAAGACAACTGACCTTTGGATTCCTTCTAAACGCCAAATCAATAGGGGAGCCCCTTGTTATCATCAGACGCATAAAGCACCAAGGCATACACCACACACACACACACACGCACACACAGCTGTCTGAGGTGCAAGTAAGGGACAACGCACAACGCAAACCAATGGTCCCGCAGTGGTCCCTAGCTAGGAAAGAATCATGCTGGTGATGTTGGGTCCTAAATTCCGTCTCCTTGTGCCTTCCAGGATTGTACGCAGGGGTTTCTTGCTTGCTTCATGGAACTCTTATTCGCAGGGATGACCCATGCTGGCTTTTCACATGGGAGTGTCTTCAAATTAAGGACCCAGTATAAATGGTTCTGGCATGGGTAAGGGTCTCCCATTTCTCACCTCAAGGACATGAACAAAAGGCCGATGGCTTTAAACGCAGACCAATTCCTGCAACCTGGTTGGGCAATTGTTTCACCATGTCCAAAACAGGTGGAAGAATCGCCCTGGCCCATGTTTCAGCATGTTTAAACACGAACAGTGTTCTTGAAACCACATCCGGTTGGGTTCCAATCTCGGAGAAGGGGCTGGTTGTTAAAACACACACCCACCCTTGCGCAGCCAGTGACTCAATGCCAAGCGGCATGATTGTAGAGTGCCAGGAGTCAGGCTTTCCTGAGGATGCTGGACCAAATGAGCTCAACCCTGTCTTAGAGCCCATCAGCCCCGCCAAAAAACAACATGTGGAATCCCTCAACATCGCGCAACCACAACATCAAACTCAAGCAACGACTGTGATTCCGTTGACCATGGTCTTCCCAGAAGCGAGACACCTGGTTGGTAATTCGTACCAAAAAGCCAAGTTTTGTTTTAGCTGCCGCTGAGTTCTGTTTGTTTTTGTTCCAACCCAACCAAGAGGCGGCTTTCGAGAACGAGACACGCCTGTGAATTGTCAGCCGAAGCTACCAGCTGAGGCCGCGTCCGGACCGTCACAATCACAGCGAACGCCTCAACGCGCCCATATGACTGTTATGGCTCGTCAAACACAAAACACACACACACAAACAAAAAATGCAAACAACTATGTAAGCAAACAATACACACACACACATATCACAACACAAATCCCAGTAAACGCAAAAATCGCTCCCCCAAGACAACAGATACGCACGCAGTGACACACACACACAAACACCCACTCACACAAGCGCGTGCGCACATGCAAACATACTAACGGTTACTACCGCGCAAATATACATGCCGTAATAATCGAGAAAATGACATTGACGCACAGCCCACACAAGCCCCACGACACAAACTCAAAACACAGGGTGAGAGACAAACAGACAGACAAACAAACGAACAACCAAAGAACCGAACAAACAAACAAACAAACAATGCAAGCAACTAGGCAAGCAACCAAGCAAGCAAATACACACACACAAGCACACAAACAAACGGACAGACAGCCAGAAAGACAAACAAACAGGCAAACAGAGAGACAGACAGAGAGACAGAGAGACAAACGGACGGAGGGACAAACACACAAACAAACAAACAAACAAACAAACAAACAAACAAACAAACAAACAAAGAAACACAACTGAAACAAACAAACAAACAAACAAACAAAAAGCAACAAACAAACAAGCAATCAACCAAACCTACATACCAATAAACAAAACCAATCCAACAAAACCACACGAACAAACAAAGAAACACAACAAATAAATCAGTTAATGAAAGAAACAAAGACAGAAAGAAAGAAAGAAAGAAATAAAGACAGAACGAAAGAAAGAAATAAAGACAGAAAGACAGAACGAAAGAACGAAATAACGAAAGAAAGAAATAAAAACATAAATAAATAACAACATAAATAAAGAGCGAAAGAAAGACACAACGAACAAATAACAACATATGGAAGGACACAATAAAAACACAAAGAACTAAATAAAGGAATACAATACATAAACAAAATCACGAAACATTAATCATTACACATACGCAAAGGAAGAAGGACACCACACAAACACACACACACAGACACACAGACACACAGACACACAGACACACAGACACACAGACACACAGACACACAGACACACAGACACACAAACACACAGACACACAGACACACACACACACACCCACCCACACCCACACCCACACCCACACCCACACACACACACACACAAAACACACAACGCGTGCACCACTACCGTCGCAACACGCCTAACACCAACGTCAAGGCATAGACGCACAGTCGTGTATTTGCAAGTAGAGAACAAGGGAACCGCCTCAGATTCACTTAGACTCATGCCGGGTTGACGAACCCATCCTATTGCTTGGGGGGTCTCTCCAAAAGTGACGACTTTTGAGGGGACATTGCAAAAGACACCTTCCAGCCCGAACCAGTTGCAAGGTCGCGAGGTGCTCTAAAACCCTAGAAATCACCAAGATCCCCCAATGGCAAGAGTTTCAACCTGGGGGTAAGGCCACGTAAGCCGTCAAAGAGACTTGACTTATTGAACACAGAAAGATTACTTCAAAGTGGCACAGGTGATGCAGGGTGGAAATCTGAATCAAGGGAAATGATTGCGTAGCCCTGGTGCATGTGCCCTACATATATAGAAGCATAAACCCCTTTATATTCCCCATACAGGTTGAAACCCCGAAAGTCTAGGGTCTGTCCTTGTTTCAAGGTAGCCTTTTGGAATTGTTGTTGAACACCTTGTTTTGAGGGAAATCAAAGGGGAACAACCAGTGCTTCGGAGCTCCCCTATTTCTAAACACGCCCATATGGGGACATGTCTGTTGGACTGTGTGGAGCTACCCGTTGGAGCAAGTCTCGGGGACCGTGGACCCATGCGCACCCGCAACTGAGCTCCAGTCTGTGAGATTCGGCTCGCTTCTTCTTGCCTTTGCGATTCCTTGGCTTCCGAGCAGAGGATCAACTAGCGATCGAGCTGATGATTGATCGAGCTGAGTGAAACAGACACAATGAATTCTGCCGGTGTGTATTTTTGTGGGGAACCACCCTTTCGGTTGGTTTTAACAGGAAACCAAACGGGAAACCACCAATTTTGCGACGGCTCCCAATTTCGAGACACACCCATGTCAACACACGGGGATCTCCGGCCCCGGTCAACTGGCGTGGGGAGGCCCGCGAAAACCATACGCATCCCATCAATATGGGGGGGGGGTGTCTTTTTTTGGGTACTCCTTTGTTGGGTTGGTTTAGGGAATCAAAATTGGGATCCCACTGCGGATTGTTTTATGCTTGATTCCGAACTTCCAATCTCTGTACTCGCCGGCACAAACAAAAACCACTTTCATCAATGTCAGTTCACACTGTCCCCTCATGTGAATTTACCTGGAGCCTCCATGACCCTTTAAAAATGCGTCCACGACCGCATTATTTAGGGTAATGACCAACCATTTTTAAAGGGTCACTCACTTGCCGAGTGGATGGCCCAAAAAAAAGCCCAAACTTTATATTTACCACTAAAATGGTCCAAACCCCAAAACGTTTAACGTTCATGAACTCAGGAAGTGAGGTCATGGAGACTCCAGGTAGCACTCCGGGTAGCACTCCGACGCTTTACCTGAAGCCCGAAAAGGGGAGCGTTTCCGTCAGAAAGATTGCTCCGAGAATGGCTGGGGATTTGCCTGGAGTCTCCGAGTCTGACCCTTCAAAAATGGTTGGTCATGACCCGATTTTTTTTTGGCGGGTGTTGACCAACCATCTTTTAAGGGTCAGAAGGAGACTCCAGGTAGATGTCAATCTACCCCCCCCCCTTTTGCGGCCATCCAGGGGCCCGAAACAGCTCGACGGAACAAGGGCTTCAACTATAGATCCTCCAGTTGAGAGGTTAGAATATGGGTACCAACTTTTTCTGTGGTAGTCTATTTTGGCAGCGGAACCCTCTCCCAAAAAGGGTAAAAAGGCACTACTAAGACAATCCTAGTCAAGTAACAAAAATCCAGGCGGACCCTGGTTCGGCAGCTCAGCCCTCCGCGCGCAGTAGGCGCGGCAGAACTCCGTGCCGCCGGGGCAGGGCTCCTGAAACCGTGGCGCATGGTCCACGTGGCGGCGGGTCCAGTCGCCAGGTTGCTTGCTGGTGCTAACTAGGAATCTTGGTTGCTGTTGCCCCCCGTGCAAAGAGTTTAACTGCTTGGCTGTTTAGTGGAAGACACCCTGATTTCCAAAAAAGTTAAAGTCTAAAGATCCAACCCAATAGCAGTCAAGGAATGAGGGAATGAACCAACTTGGCGTTTGGGGGCGCCTCGAAATGTCGAAATGGGCGCCTCGGGGTGCCAACTCCAACAAAAAGCGAGACACCCAAACGATCGTCTGTGCTTTTCTTGCTGGTGCGATAAGTAGGGAATGTGGGAATGAACTCAGGGATTCCCGAAAAGGAAACCACCAGCAGTTGGATGGTTTGTCTCGGGCTCACTCCAACTCTCATTCCCTGGGCACCAGCAAGGAAGCAAGTTGTAATGCTAACCCAGGTTACACCCCACTTGTAAGTAGGAAACCCAAGCTGTTTGGGGGACCCAAGTTTTTGAGAACCACCTGAAATGGGCCATTCTATCAAAGGCCCAACGGGCCCCCAAAACAAAAGAAGAACACATAAGAACAGTTTGCTGTTGCTTTCCTTCGGGCGGGTTCAGTTGTCACTTGGTAAGTACCCAGACATGTCCATGTTGTTTCAAAGTGTGGTTCCCATTGCTTCCCCACAAAACCACGGAATGCATTCAGAGATGCTACACGTCCATGTCGGTCTTAAGGGTGAGGTAGGGGGGGGGGTTGGCGAGGCTGGGAGATGCCCCCCCCCAAGCAGCATGTAGAGGCCTAAACAAATAGAATGGGGTTGTGGGTACTTTAAAAATCATGAGTACCTGGAGTCTGAAAAAAATGGGGGTCATTACCCAAAAGAAAGGGGTGATGACCCCATTTGTTTAAGGGTCATGGATACTCCAGGTAGTCATTATCATCGGGTAAAACAATGCACTTTATTCCACAAACGGGTTGCAAATGGATCCTTGAATCAAAAAGACAACAATTCCCCTGCATCCCTTTACACCTCACCTGGGTGTGTGCACTGGTGGGAGCCCTCCGTTTTTTCGTGAATGGGCCCAAAATTGCTTAGACCTTTTGCTTATAGACCTCCGGACCTTTAGAATCCTTTGCACCTCTCGACCTTTTGCAAGCCCTAGGTCTGCTGCCAGCCTTCTCTCTATTACTCGTGGGTGTGTCTAAAAATTTGGGGGACCGTCCCCCCCCCACCAAACGTGAGATGGGTGTGTTCGAGGGGGCAGGAGCAGGTTGATGAGATTTAGGCCGCATAGCGTTTTGAGGGGGGAACCTCCAAAATGGGTATGTCCCCTTCAATTACTCCAAGGTTCAAGTAGATGGACAAATGTGAAGTTGTGCCATCTACTTTCGGCCAACTGTATCTTGGATACATATAAAGAGCTTGCTGTTCATATCATACGCTCTCCGCAAAGAGTGGTTGCCCAATTGGTTTGGCAACCGGGCACACAGCAAGTGGAATGTTCAGACTTGGAAGCTAAATCCCCATGAGAACGGACTCAGAACTGCAGGTGTAAATTTCAATAGGGGATGAACATCATTTAGGATGACAATTATGTCCGCCAACTGCTTTTGAGGTGTTCTGAATCGAAGATCATAGCCACCTGACCTGGGGTCTCCTTGTACGTAGCGGAACATTCAATGCAAGGGACCCTGCCACCTGGCACAAGGATTCGACATTGCTGTGAAACAAAACTTTCAGCCAGGATGCACCTAATTGACGCAAACAAGGACACCTAGCTGGGCAGCGGCAATAAAATACAATAACTCTAAAACCTCAAATAACTCTACTCCAACAACTCTGCAAAAACGCAACGATTCCGGAACCTAAAATTGGGGATGGCAAAGTAGAAAAGCTCAATAATCGTGAGCCCATTGTTCAAATCCTGGAATCGGCGAGCACGAACCCCGTAAGGGTAAACAAGATGGCCACCGTAGACTTTGGTGCCAAGGTGATGCTGAAACCATGCCGAAAAGGCAGACATACTGTGGATGGACAAAATCCTGCACCCAAGAAACCCTGGTTTCCGATGACTCCCCTGTAAATACCAACGAACGTTACGGTTTCAAAAATGGCTTCAAAGTGGTGTGAAATGCATGTTGTCCCTCCATTTGCTTAAGCCTGAAACAAGCACATATTTCCAACAGCAAAATCGATTGCCTTTAAAACCAAAAGGGCAAACAATATATTGTAAACAATATACTGTACAATCCCTATCTCTTTTGTGTAATGTGTAGATGGGTAGTTGAGTGTTTATAGGTGATAGAGATGGTTGTAGAGTGATGGTGGGAGAAGGATAAACTCTTTCTCTACTGTGTGATAATTTAGTGGAGATTGCGATGACTCCCCTGTATGTACCAACGAACGTTACGGTTTCAACAATGGTTTCAAAATGGTGTGAAATGCATGTTGTCTCTCCATTTGCTTCAGCCTGGAAAAACAAAAAAAACCTACCTGGAGTCTCCATTGTACCTTTAATTTTGGGGTCACACTAACAAAATGGCATTCTTTTGCGAAAAGGCGTTTTATTCAGTTTCGCTACAGTGTGACCCTTTTTTTTGGGTTCTGCGCTGACTAGACATTTTGCTAAAAAACGAGAAACAACATCACACTGCGGTAACTCAATGCAGCTTCTTTAAGGTATGCTGACCAAACGGGCTGCTTTGACAAGCGTCTTCTTTCACGTAAGGCGCTGGCGCAGACTGAACCTGCATTCATCAACAGCGTTTGCCCAGAGCCCGCAAGCTTGCCTGTAAGCACTAGGATATTCAAGCTTTGCTTAATACGCAGACGCACAGTATGCGGACATGGTGGCGCAGGCTGGTGCCAAGAAGCAGATGAGCATGTCCCTTACTTTGACACAAAACTTAAGTTTTGTGCTTGCAGGCGACAGGGTACGTTTTCAAGGGCGAGCTGGCGCGCGCCAAACCTGCTATCAGACAGTCGCTTCAAGAAAGCAAGCGCCCGTCAGAGTTCTGTAGCGCTTGTTTGCCCGCGGCCTTGGCTCTAAAGTGCTTTCTGGCTTTGCGGGGGTTCGGGAAGAACAAAGAAAGTTACCAAGGCTAGAACTACAAAAGGATACATGCTCGTAAGGAAGGTTAATTGCTTACATCCACAAGTGTGCGCATTTGGAGCCACCTCTAGGCAATCAACCGCTTGAAACGGGCTTCTCATGCAAATCTACAGCTGGCCTGCTGTGGGCATCTGAATCGCTGGCTTTACAAGACTTTCCAGCTCAAGCTAAGATTTGACGGCCAAACACGCTCAACAGTTGCAACCACGGAAAGGCAGATTGTTCGGAGCCTCTGTCCGCCTTTCATCCGCCTTCCATCAGCGCTCCGCCGTCCGTCCGCCGTCCGTCCGCCGTCCGTCCGCCGTCCGCCCACCATCCACCCAGTCCAGCTGGACCCCATTCTGTAATGGATACTTTGATGGTCCCAAAAAAGCCGTCCAAAAGGCGGAAAAAACCCGTCCAAAAGGCGGAAAAACCCGTCCGTCCGGGACGCGTCCAGCAGCTTGTACCCTTTTTTGTTTTTTGTATTGGATAGGGAGCAAACTTGGGATTGCTTCTTCTGCTTCAGCTGGCCTCAAAGGACAGCAGAGCGAACCAACTTTTCGCAACAATTAGTCTTGCGGCACACGTACGGATTTTTGCTGGCGTTGACCCTTCGTACTCAATGCTGGGCCCCGTGCGTTTATTGTTTGATTGGCGTAACAAACACTTGCGTGACAGAGCGCGCCTACGAAAATGGATTTCACTGTGTTGCTTCGTCCCTCGTTGCGTCGGAGTGACCGCTCTGTTTCGAAACATTGAGTATATCCAATGCATTGCAGCGGCTTTGAACTTCAACGTCTGGGTTGGTGGTTTTCACTAGCAAAGCCGTCTAGGCGCACTGATAGCGTTGAACATGTGTGACCAGCGTGTGGGAGCGACCGCGCTGTTTTATATTGTTCGCCGCGGCGCCCCAGATCATGTCAAAGTAGGCGCTTCGTGCTGGCATGCCTGCGGTCGTCATTGTGTGAAATCAATCAAGTTTGGCCAACATAGATTAACCCCTTCGTTGCGCGTGACAGAGTGTGCCCAGAGTACTGCTGTGCTCGCTATAGTTTGCAGCGGTTGTAGCTTTGCCCCTTTGGAATAGCAAAATGTGACTACTCCAGCGATTCATGCTTTGGTGTAAGTCCAACTTTTGCAGTTACGAAAGTAAGCAGGCTACCTGTCACAGCAATAGAAAACCTATATATACATAATTACCTTGTTCAAAGCCAGACCCTGACGCACTCATAATGATTGCAGCTACTGACAGCGCTATTTTTGGCCGTCATGCACGGCAATGCGGCAGGACCAATATGTCAAGAAGGAAAGAATCGCGCATGTGACCCCTTTTTGCGCCAAAGAGGCTTTTCTTGCACTCGTGACCCCAAAAAAAAGGGCAAAAGGGCGGAAAACGAAGGGTCACGGAGACTCCAAGTATTTCCAAGAGTGATTCCGTTTGCCTTTAAAACCAACAGGGGAAACACCAATTATATATTTTATACGTACAATATTTCCAATAGTGATTTAAAGCCAAGAGGGGAACAACATACACACATATATATATATATATATGTATATATACATAGTATTCTTTCCAGCAAATTGAAGGTGTCCAGATGTGCCGCTCTTGCCTCGTCTTCTTCCGGCGGCCACAAAACCCCAAAAAACGAGCCACCGACCCTCGCCCCAGTTCAATCGCCGCCTTCCAGGGCCTCAGGCACTTGCCCGTCCCTGGGAGATCGAGCCGCGGATTTTTTTCAGCTCAAGGGCTAGGTCCTGCGGTTTTTGGGGGGAGTAGAAAATCAGTTGGTGCCCGTTTTTTTTCCCCGAATGCGTAGCGAAGGGTTCTCGTTTTTTTTCCTTTTTTTTTTTCCCTCTGTAGTCTATTTTGGTAGGGGAACCCTCCCAACCAAGAAAGTGGGTGAGAAAGGGCGCCTAGCTGGGGGACCTAGAGGGCGTCGTCTTCTCGAGTTTGGGTCGCTGCGGTGCAAAACCGTCGCCCGGGGGTTCCAGAAACGCCCCCAGAGAAAGAATGGCTGACCCAAGGAGACCCAAGTTGGAGCATGAAAAAAAACTGAGGGGTAAATCCCATTGTTTTAACATTGTTTTAGGGGAAACAACTGAGGGGGAAAAAAAACTGAGGGGAAAAACTGAGGGGTACATCATGGTGGTTCTGTTCACCCATTGTTTTAATGGCTGCAGCTGTTCCCCAGAGGTAGGGACCCGTTTTCTCAGAAAGCAAATGAACTTGAAGCTTGGCACACGTCTCGCAGCTCAATTTCATGAACTTGGGGCTTCGCACATCTCTTGCAGAAAAAAACATCCGGAAAGCAACATGACATGATGAGGGTCAAAATGAAATCATGACATCAACATGAACCTTTCGCTCCTAATTGGCTGTGGGTCAAAACCCGGTACCCCCTGTCAACATCCCAATCCCCCCTAAAATGGACTAAAACGGGTGGTGCACCTACCCCAAAATGGGATCCCATTGGTTTTGACCCACAGCCAATTGTGTCATCGGTGTCCAAACCGCCACCTATCGCCCTGTCGAGTTCGCAGTGCACCGGCTGCAAGGAATGCAGCGCGCTCGTGAGGACTTGTCGTCCAAACGTCAGATGTCACAGAAAAGTAGCACAAAACATGGCCATGGGTCAAAAGCCCGGTTACCCCAGTGAACATCCCAATCCCCACTAAACTAGGTTCTAAAATGGGTGGTGAATTCACCTACCCAAAATGGTACCATTGGTTTTGACCCACAGCCACATTCAGTCTTTAAGCTCTATGAACCTCGGTTGAACCTCTATGAACCCTATGGCATTTGGAACGTCTCTACGAACCCTACCATCGAGGAGCAAGGCCACGCCGGACGCAGCGCTTGCAAGTAAAAGACATGTCTTTCGCGCCTTCACACCAGACAAAGCCAGCTGCTTGTAGACAGCCGCGTTGGTCACGGTTAGGTCCAAGAGCTGAATCCTGGCGCGTGGACAAGCTGCAAGCTTGAATTCTCGAGTAAATAAGATCTCAGTTGTTCAGTGACCCTGGAAAAACAGGGAACCCTCTTTGAGGAAGATCATTTTCAGTGGGGCAGCCCCCCGGAAAAAAAAAAAAAGAAAAAGAAAAAAGGGGAAACAGGGTGCCACTGAACAACTGAGAGATGGGTCCTGTTGATTTCATGCCCCTTTGTGGTGGATTCAGAATTGCCTAGTAACTTCAGATCGGTCCGGTTGTGGATGAACAATGATTTCATCCATTTGTGTGGTGGATTTAGAATTGCCTTCAGGTTGCTGTGACGGTTCCTGGAGTTGTACGGGGATGAGTGCAGAAACAAAACCCCGGGATTGGACCGACATCGTGACTTCCGTCATTCATGTTGGCCCTGGGGTGTCAGGAGCACGAGCAGGCGGTCCAAACATATGCGGTGAACAAACATAGGGCAAAAAGGGAACCCTTTTTGGGGAAGACCATTTTTAGTGGGGCATCCACCAAAAAAAGGGGAAATCGGGTGCCACTGAGCAACTGAGACATTGAAACCATGGTTGAAACCATTGTTAGTTGGTATTTACGGGGATGCGAACATTTCGTCCATTCACAGTAGGGCGGGGCCCGGGGCTAACACAAAAAACCGCTCTGCCTGTTGAACCAGGGCTTTCCAGCCACTACAAACGGAAATCTGAAAACGGGGCTTCGGAGCCAAGCGGTTGGGCCATCGAAACTCAAAATCAGAGAGCCAACCTGGGCATAGAATCAGACAAGACTCAGTTGTTCAGTGACCAAGGGAAAAAGGGTGCCACTCAACAACTGAGAAGACGTACTGTTCTGATATCTCATGGATGGCTTTGTCTTTCTTTCATACCCACAAAACGGCAAACGATGGCTTTCCTTGTGGTTTCCATTTAAAACTTGAAAAAAGGCTACCCCCAAAAGACACACCCAAGTGGGAACTAGTGTAGAAATTGATGTGGTTGGACTTTTCGGTGGACATCCTCCATATGGGGACTTATGTCCATCAACCAGTTTTGAGCGCTAATCCCAATCCTGCAATTTCCGCTTGATCAACCAGGGAAAGGCAAACTAGGAAAACTACATGCTTCACCAACCATCATCCCAAAGTATTTTTTTCAACCTGGACACATCCCACCGGAAGCTTTCCGGAGAAAAAAACAATGTGGGAACATATTTCAATCATATGTGGCTGAGCAATGGCTCAATATGAAGTGATACAGTTCCCGTTTCCCGTCAGATTTAGATTCCTACAGCACCCACCGGGAAGGGTTCTTCGAACCTTCTGAGCAGAGGTTCTCAGAACAGATTTCGGAGGGGCGGGGGGGACGGGCGGATTTTGTTGGCCCCTTGAAGTTGTGCAGGACCATTGATCCCGATCGATGGCCTCCCGGACTTGCCGCATGCTATGCTGCATGTCTGGCCTTGCAACAGGCACACGTTTGACTCTCTCACCAGAGGCCTGAAGGCCTGACTCGTGACCTACGGCCTCTTCATGAACATTAGAGCAGGAGCAGGCTGTGGGAGAGCAAACATCACCCGGACATTCGCCGAAACCGCACTTCCAAGGTCGAAGTCTGATGAGCTCGAGATTGAGTCTGTTGGAACTTGTTGACTCCGGCCGCATCAGGAGGGCCCTGAAATTCAAGTGTCGCATCCTTTGACTAGTCGGGTAACAACCCGATGGAAAATCTCGCGCCGCTCCCGGAACCCGGCGAAGAACAGTTCACCCATTGGGACCACAACTGAATGATGGTCCAAGGACCATGGACATAGAAGGCTCACAACCAAACGATCCAAAGGCTTGCCTATGAAAGGAGACCCTTCCGGCTTCAGTCTGTTTTGCGCCGGGGTCTCTGCGGATAGTCCAAGCAAAATCCATTTCGCGCCAGTTGGGATTCATGAAACCTTATGAAAGCTGGTGCGAAACGGATTTTGTCCATCAGAGGATCCTGAAAAGATTGTTCATCGGGCTTCGGCAACCCAAGAACCGGCAAGGAAACTCGAAAGGCTCGACGTCGGCAAACTTGAGCAGTCCCGATGTGATTGTAAGATATTTGTTTGGCACGATTCAAGAAAGAACAAAAACTGGATCCACCCCACAAGTTGCCATTGGAGCGTCCCTTCTGTGGGTCTTTTCAGGGAAACCGCAAGGAACGCCACCATGCTGGGGTATCCTATCTTGACACATACCCACATTGGGTTTTGATTCTGCCAAATGCTTGTACTTGTTTTTTACTTCTATGATCCAACACATAAACACGGGCACCCTCATCCACATACCCACATTGGGCTCTGAGTCTGCTATGCTTGCACGCTCTTTTTACTTCAAATTCTAAGCCAGCACAGAAACGCACCCAACTCGCCACACAGCTGACAGTTGAGATCGCCACGGCTTGGCAGCCGTCAACCAGCAAATCAGGCAGAAGGCAGCCACGACCTGACGCGAATGGAAAGCGATGGGCACGGGGGTCAAATCTGGGCTGCCCTCAGATCTCCTGCTAAGAGTCTAACTTTGAGTGGGTCAAATGGAAAGCCCCACTAAACACTAGAAGTCTAAAAAGCTAAGGGGATGGAATGGGAGCACGAAATGTGGGACTGTCTCTTCTCAGAGTTAGTAATCCCTGTTTATTTTGTAGGTTTAAAGGGAAGCCAAAACGAAAACCACCCTTTTGGGGGGGGGGGGAAGGAAGCCCACAGCGTGAAAGATGCGGGCCCCTGCTGCTTCAACCATTTCGAAACCGCCCCATGGAAGACCATTTTTTCTTTTGCGGTGCCTTCGCAGAGTTGATGCCATGTTTAGTGGGAAAGAAGTACACGGGTGTGTCTTCTCTTGACACCCGGTACCCGTTTTGATGCCAAAGGGAAAGCACACATTGTGGGGGTTTCCTTATCTTCACACTCCTACATGTTGCAAGGGACCGCTATTTTGGGCCAACGCAGTCCTAGGGTCGTCAAGGGCCCCCAATAGGCTCCCCCCTCCCCCCCCAAATTCGTGTGGAGGCCTTTAAGTGACGAGTCAGGCCGTTGGGTGCTACTGGTTCTTTGGTAAGGTTCAATTCCTGCCCTTTGTTTCTCATTCTTTTGGGGTGAGGGCGGGAAGGACTAAGTCAGGCTAAGTCCTTTTTGGCCCGGACAATCATGGTGCGTTGATTGTTTTGGGAATCGGACGCCCCGAAATGGATTTCGATTTCGGCTTTCCTTGGTTCCCTTGAAAACCAACCCAAAGGGGCAACTCCAAAAAAGGACGAGCCACCACCTGAAGCCAACACCCCCAATGGAACCCCCCAATGGTTTTTAGGGGAGCCCCCCAACATGGGCTTCGGTTTTTTCCTATTGGTTCCGTTTAACCCAAAGGGGTACCCAAAAAAGAAGACGAGCCCAATGCTGGGCTGGGGGGGTACTATGGAGTGTGTCTCTTTCAGGGAAGCCTCAAAATGGGCTTCGGTTTTCCTGTTGGTTCCGTTTAACCAAAAGGCTCCCTGCCCCTCCCCTCCCCTCCAGCCCCCAATGGAAACCAACAGCTCTCCAAGGACCGGGCCACCACTGCCAAGGTGGGGCCCCACAGCCCGCAGGTGGACTCTTGCACGTAGAACTGCCTGGCTGCTTCCTCTTCCGCTTTGGCAAAGGTCCCGCGTCCGTTGTTGTTTAATACCATTTTTATCATTATGATGAGTATTTGCTATTGTCATGTTCAGTATCATCATTGTTGTTACTCATGATCATTGCGTTCATTATCATGTTCATTATTGATATTGGCACTATGATTGCCATGAGTATTATCACTATCAATAGTAATGCTACTAACCTTGTCATTAGTATGATCAGTATGATTGTTGCGGTCATCACTATTATTGTAGGTGTTGTGATTGTGGGCATTGTACTATGCGTCTCATGATCCTTGTTTGTCATTATCATTATGGCTATTATCATCATGATCGTCATTAGTTTGATTATCACCATTTGTTTTATCATTACTAGGGTTGTCACTACTATTTTACCACTACAATGTTATCGACAACAAACAAATATTTTACAAGGGTACATTTGACAGATGGAAAATTATATCCTTAGTATTCTCCCAGTATTCCCCTAGCATTCTTCGAATATTCCCCTTTGTAGTAACCCGCATATTCCCTAATTATCCCCCAGCGTATTCCTTATATTACTTTTATAATTATTGCTATTATATTCTTACTGCTAGTATGACTCTGACTCTTCTTGCCAGTAGTATGATTATGTATTTTATTACTACTATCATTTGTTACTACTGTTGGAGTTGTTTACCATTACTATTGCTTTATTGTTAATTATAACCACTATTTCTGGTAGTAGTATGGTTGCTATGATTTTGTTTATGATTGTTGCTTTTGTATTGTTATCACTAGTACTACTATTACTTTCACTTGTGGTTGCATTACTATTGTTCTTACTACGAGCATTATGATTGCTGTTCCATTCATTTCTATAACGATTATTGCGACTACTACTATTTTAATTATGATAATAAATACTATTACTGTTATTATTAGTATATGCATGTGAGTGTGTTGTTGTTTTTTTGTTCTTTAGCAGGAATGGGTGTTCATTGAATCAAACAACGCAACTGCCCAAATCGGCATCATAAATTGGGTGGAATATCTTTCTAGCTGTACCCTCCCCACTCTGTTCAGGGGTCCTTCTGGAAACGGGGTGGTGTCTGAACGGAGGGATAGGTGAAGACTGAAGATAAGTGGTCATCAACTGATACAATAACCTTTGAACAGCTTTTTGAAGCTCAAACTGCGCTTTTGTTTTAAAGCAACACCCAAAATAGTAGTCCTTGTGGTTCCCCTTCAGAAGCACAAACAAGAGCCACTCAAACAAAAACAAGGTATGAGCCATTCAACTCGGAACAATGTGCTTGAAGCTGACATCGGGGCTCTCAACTTCACCTCAATCATTCAGGTTGGTCTTGTTACCGAATCATACCGACTCCAAGACTCCAAGAGGCTCGTCGCGTTTTTGCAGGGCACAACTTTGTCGGTAAGTTCGTGGTTCGGGATATGAGCCTCTAGTGGGATATGCTACAAGTTGCTCCAAAATATCAGCTTTTTAAGTTGTGAGGGCATGGCTGGTCCTGTTTGCAACTGCAAATTGGGTACGTGTTGTTCTCGGCCTTGGTTGGTCTTAAGCCAAAGAAAGCATGGTACCGGTAGTTTCTGTTTGGATTTTGTTAAATATAAAACATATGCTGAAACAAGATGGCCTGATCAGACAATGTTGCTTTTGCCCACCGGTGTCCAATGAACAGCATGCGCCCTAGACTGCGCCCCATCTGCAAATCGGCAGAGGAGTTTGAAACAACGGCTACCCCTTGTCCATTGCTCATGTGGGGAGTTCTGCTGGCTATGGTTCCATTTTAACCCTGTCGGAACATCAACTATCCTTGCGTTTCTGGGCTGCCCTCACATCCCTGCTAAAAGTTAAAATTGTGTGTCAGATGCAAACCCACCCACCATTCTAAACCAACAAAAACAACTAAAACCAACTACAACCTAAGTTTCTAGGAGTTGATTCCCCATTCTTTTCAACCATCGTTCTTTTCGGAAACCGACTGTTTCCCCTGGGTTGTTGAGGGTTTCCCGAAAAGAAAATCGGATCCCTGGAAAGAATGGAAATGGAAGGTACCCCTAGAAAGTTGAACCGGATGCCTGGGAACCGCCCCTGGGTTTTAGTCTGGAGTCAACAAATGCCAGTCTGCTTCTGGACTGCCCTTCAACTCTCGCCGCGTGCCTCGCCCGACCCATCATCAAGGACGCTTAACCTGCGCAATTGGATCCCCTCGCGCGAGGTCTTTTCTTCGTAGCTGAAGGCAAGGGCAAGGGTTGCAACCAACTAACCAACCGAAAGGGTAGCGAGCCTGGACAAGAAGGAACCAAACTGAACACGAAATCAGGGCTGCTTCAACATGTGTGGACACTTGTTGTTCTTGTTAGATTCACGTTCTATCTGCCTTTAAGCTGCGCATCTTTTTTAATCTCCTGCTTAAAAAAAAAAAACTTTCAGTGGGTTCAATGGACACGCCCACTAAACCCAACCACTAAAAAGCCTGAGGGGACGGGTGGGAACCGCCGACAAGTACAGGCGACTGAGGGACTTGTGGGTTTCAACTTTTGGGCAACCCGAGAAACAGATCCACAACAAATGACCTGTCCAAAACAAGTCCAGAAACCCGCAAAGTGAGATTCATTGGGAGTTGCCCTCTTTTGGGGGGCGTGTCTACCTATTGGCTGGTTTTCAAGGGAAGCCCTTCCTGGAAACTGGGCCTTGTCAACCACTTTGTGATCCATCTGCAAATTTCCCTCTAATTCCAAAAGCTGAACTCAGGGATCCCCGAAGGACCTTTATCATGGCGTTCGCCCGTTTTACCCCGCGAATCGGTGAGCTCGCGTCATAAAATAGCTAGGTCCTCCAGTAAAGAGGTTAGAATCAGTTGGTATACGACCTTTTCCTTTCTTGTCTATTTTAGTAGGGGAACCCTCCCAACCAAAAAAGAAACGGTCAAAGGGCTGGGGGACGTAGAAAAAGAATCAGTTGTTCAGTGACCCTGAAAAAAAAGGAACCCTTTTTGGGGAAGACCATTTTTAGTGGGGCAGCCCCCCAACAAAAAGGGAAAAAGGGTGCCACTCAACAACTGAGAATAGGCAGATCCATGTCCCGCCCCGCCAAAAACAAGAAGGAGGACGGCGCCTGGCTGCCGCGGGCATGGATCGCATCGATGCGCATCGACGCGGATGTTCGCAGAGGGCGCCCCTCGAAGTTTTTTGTTCACCTGTGGTAGCTGATTCTCTGCTAAGCGTTTTCCAAATGGTGATTGGGTATGGGTCAAAATAAAACCACCAGGGAACCGCAGGTTTTAGCCTTTGGTGCCATTTACCAGGGTTCCATTTTTGGTACGCATTGTTGACCCACAGTCAATTGACCCACACACCACTGATGATTTGTTGTTTTGAACCTTTGGTGGCTGGTTCTCTGCTATTAAGCCATAATTCATGATTCGTTAGTAGGAGCAAACTCTTTCAAACCCTGACACCTCTAGGCAGCTCCCCTTCCTCCGCATGGAATCTGGGCAAACGGCGAAAATTCCCCAATTGGAAATACAGGGGACCCTTAGTAAAGAAGCTCACCATGGATGAGCTCAGCTTTCCAACGCGCGAGCTTGTTACTGCCCAAAACAATCGGTCAATCGACCCATGAAACAAGACCTTCTATCAGGTTTGCTTGGATAAACTGACAAATGAACAATGAGGCCCGCGATGCTTTGTTTCTTGAAGGTCCCTTATGACAGGTGTGCGAACAAAACCCCGGTGGATTGTAAATACAGCAAAGGCAAGTGAACCAATCACATACCCTGGTGGATTTAGATGATGCCTCTTACTCCCTTGTTGAAAAAATACGGGGATCACCCACCTCACTGTGGTCTCGAAGCAGCCATGAGTCATTCCAAACCTTGGTGGTTTCCCAACCTGCAGTTAAACTCTGCTGGACCGCTGTGGGGGCCCTATTCTCTCCTATTTTGCCAAGCTAATTGATTTGATTTGCAACCCCGCGTGGTCTGCGCGATTTGTGCGTCGAACACCCCCGCTCGAGCCACATGCAGCTGCATGGGGGGGGCAAGTAAGTTGGGGTCAAGACTCAGGACAACATGGCTAGCTCAAGTATGGCAAACTAGCCTTCCTATATGATCATGAAGTACAAAACAATATGGATTCCACGGTTGATTAAATAAATCAAATGCAAACAAATGTACTGGTTTCAGATAATTTGAACATTGTATCATTGTGATTAATATTAATAATCAATTTGGTATATGAATATCCATCAAGATTGCGATAATAAATGGATCATACATAGCCGCAGCCTTTGCAGCGTGGTGGCCCCCCAACTTGGAAGGGGTGACTAAGACGAGTCGTTTCCACCAGATTGGACCAACGAACTTGCGCGGGGCCCGATACGGAGGGAGCGGGGAAAATAGGGGGATTCCAACTTGGCGCCATTTCCCATATCAAACTTATTCAAGGTGCATCAAACGCGGGAATCCTCCCGTATCAAACTGGTTTCCCCTGTATCCCTGCTAGTTGGTTTCCCTGACGAGGAAGCAGCAACCCGCACGGTTGCTGTCAATGTCATCTCGCTTGTTCATGAACAACAATGTTCTTCTATACTCACTGTTAGCGGATCCAACAAGTGGACCATGGGAAACAAGCCTTGAACAGCCCAGCTCTCGGCAACGTCACACGTGGGCTAAACAAGTCCGGAAGCCAGCAAGCCGCCCCTTGGACGCGCGCACCAACACGCGCTTGAACTTTGAAAAGGTATTCGCGAAATCCCGTGCTTGACTGCATGCCGCTTCGAAGCGAACCGTGCCGCATCTAAACACAGAGCGTCGCCTTTGGCGCTGATTCCGCCAAAGACGGGCTTCTTCTGAGAGCCCCGCCATGGGCAAAAGGACTGAAACAAAAAAACACCACATGTTGAGGCTCATCCATCAGGCATATCGTCCGTCAGTCCAGCGCGTTTGACAGACTCCAGGTATCTTGTAGTTTCCTGAGGCCGGCAGTTCTCTGAACACAGACACACCAAGCAATGTCTGGTGCTCAACATATCTGCCATTGACGCTGACGCTCCTGGTGTGGCGATGATCATGGCGCCCTGAGTACCCCTTTTGCCTATGAAGGGGTTGATGAAAGCGGCCCTTGCCATCTTAAGTAGAGGGGCAATCCAAACTTGGTATCTGGAGTCTCCATGAACCTTAAAAGATGGGGTCATCACCCCTTTCATTTGTGTAGAGACCCCATCTTTTCAGAATCATGGAGACTCCAGGTATTAAATTAGTCTACCCAAAACCAACATAATTCCTGTAATAGGGCGGGGATATCCGCACCTTTTATAGTTGGAACTGTCCCAGGATTTGGTTTGTGCCTCACATACACGGTCATGGCTCCCTCTGAACCCTCATTGTGTTCTCACTTGCTCCCTTAGAGATCTAGAAATACGAGGTGATCATCTGTTGGGACCTTTAACAGAGGAGAAAAAAGGAAACACCAGCGGATTGAAAGGTCGGTTCTTAACAACTGAGTGTTTGTCTCACATCCGCAAGGGTCTTAATCCATGACCATCCCTAGTGGAATCGGCTGTTTGAGCACAACTGTCTTGTTTGCCTCTTCTGGCCAATCGAGTCATTTCCCACACACGTGGCCAAGAAGAAAAAAGGACAGGGCACTCCTCTTTTTGGTAGTTGATGTCAAAGGGGTAGAAGGGCACCTAGGTCCTCCAGTAGAGAGGTTAGAATAAGGGCACCCTTTTTTCTGTAGTCGATTTTAGTAGGGGACCCCTCCCCCAACAAAAGGGTAAAGGGGCACTACTGGGGGACCTAGGCACTCAAACAAAACAGCTACAAAAAGGGCTCGCCCTGCGTCTCTTGAATCTCCGAGTCTCGGCAGGGACGAACATCTCGATCTTTTCCCACTGCGATGCGCCCTGCGACAGGGTACAAGTTGGGACGTTTTGATTCCCAACCCAAATAATCCATAGATTTACCCGCATACTGTGGATGGACGAAACCCACTTCGCCCCACCTAAGCAACCATGAGACACCATTGTTTGTTGGTATTTACAGGGGAATCAACATTCCAGAGTTTCTGATCGGTGGTGCGAAACGGATTTCGTCCATCCACGGTAGGTTTGTTTCAGAACAGAGGACCCCTTAACATTGGGTGGTTTCAACTTTTGGTTTGCCTTCAAACAAACTCCAAAAACACCAACTCCAAAAACGACACACCCAGTTACCTCCAAATGGGTCAAATGTTGGTAGGTGCTGCCTTCATGGATCGTGTGAGCCTTTGGGCCCAAGTCGCCTGTGCAGGGACACCAGAAATAGTTTTAAACATTGCCGGTTTCAGGTTGGGACGCTTGATTCCCTTCAAAAAGAATCAGTTGGGTATGGTATGGGTCAAAATTAAACCACCAGGGGATCGCAGGTTTTGGTCCATGTTTCCATTTACCAGGGTTCCATTTTGGGCACCTATTTTTGACCCACAGCCAGTTGGAGCCCTTTAAAGTGGGCGTGAAAAGGAATGGGCCCTTTGACAACTGCGCTTTTGGCCGAACAGCTCAGGCCAAATCACTGCAATACATAGATCGGACACAAGGAAGACCCCCAGTAAGAAGCCTGCATCATGGGATTTTGCTCCTTTTACCCCGGATCGGTGACCTCGGTCTACTTTCCCAGGAAAGCGGCCCCAGCAAAGCGACACAAAAGGAACACGAGTCATATTTCACTGAGGGTCTCCGTCTATTTGTAGTTTGGAGTAATCCGAAAGTAAGGTAAAAACATATCTTCCACTTCAAGTCACGTTGGGTATGACTTAGGACAATAACATGGTGAGCAGCGCGCACATGCTGTTTGTGTATGGGTTTGTTTGCTTTTTAGACTTGGTACTTTTTTGGGGTGGTGTTAAAGGGAAACTAACAGCAATTCACATTGAATGGGGTTCCCCTCCCATGTGAACAGTTTTTGTTTGATGTACCCAGGGCTGGGTCAAGATTTCTTGCGCAACAACTTTAAATGACAGTAGTGCTCGTAAACGCCGGCTGTCAGCTTTCATGGGTACTTGTAGCATTGAGCGGGCCGTGTCTGCGCCAGAGATGTTTGCCTCTTGGCGCCGGACATCAGAAACAACTGGATCCGCCAAGGACACATTTAGGGGTCCCGGGATTCTCGACTTCCTGAGTGCATTCGCCTAAACACATCAGTTGTAGGTTTGCAACTTAAATGGCAGTGGGTCAAAACACAGTACCCAAAATGGAGCCCTGGTAAATGCAACCCAGGACCAAAACCTGGGGTCCCCTTGTGGTTTAATTTTGACCCATACCCAAACCCATAAGCAAAAAGGCCCAGGTATAAGCGTATCCCAAACAGCCCCGGCTTACCCGCTGGAACCTCCGAACCAGAGCTTCTTTGGACCCACTGTTGGGGAAAAAAAAGGTCTCCATTCTGGGGATGCACTATTTGGGATTCCAGGCCGAAAAGGAAACCACCAGTTGGACATAGACACTTGGCAACTTTCAGAACTCCATAGACTCGATGAGCCCCGGGAGACTCCGCCAAAATGGTGTTTGGAAGTCAAGACGAACCCCCCAGAGCAACACGGAGAGTCCCTTCACCATGGCCCCGCTGGGGGCCAGTCATCTTTCCCAGTTAAACAAAGGTGAAGGTCATACAAGACATTTCACTCAATCAGCAAGTCTTGAACAGGAAGCACATTGGCGTCCTTCAAGGTGAGTTCCCAAGAACCAGATGGCTCCCTCTGGCCCTCCGCCTGATCACAAAATCCAGCCGGAAAAAACAAATCGATGGATGAAGCCCGATTCAAGTCCTGGTTGATAAGCCACACTCAATTTGGATTTGGATTTCCGGACTTCCCCTGATGGATTTCCCCTTAATTTCCTGGCTTGATGGCGTGACTGGGAATTTGGATTTCCTTCAAAAAGCCTTAAGGCGGTCCAACCCACAGGGCTTGTCTTACAGTAGAACCCCATTTTTTATTTTTGGGCAGCGGTGTGCTTTTGTCCCAAAATGGGCCTCAGAAGCAGCTCATGGATGCTTACTGTATTAGCTTCGTTTCCAAGTTCAGGTTTCCAACTGAAAGAAAACATCGCCCCAAGAGGATCTCCCAACAAACCCAAAACCCCCCTACAAACCAACAAACCCCAAAACCAACAAACCCCTCAAAAACATAGGTGTCCTTTTTGGGAAAATAGATGGCCCTGGTAGTTGATTGAACCAGCAGGTAAACCAGGGCCCTCTATGTTTCAACCAAATCAACCAACAGGACACCTATGCTCAAAAAGTGGCACCAACAAACGCAACCAAAATCCTCGACGGATTTTTCATCAGGCCTCGCAGGCCCCGGCCACGATGTGGTTGGCACTATCCACCGTGACCTGAGCGGTTTCCACTGCCAATGCAGCCAGTTGCAATCTATGAACCCAGACACTCCCGATCAAAGGGCCCTCAAACAGCCAGGTTTTGAGACTTTCAAACACCGATTCCCGGGGTGTCGAATGGAGGGGTCGGGTCTAAACCATTGCAGGCCGAAGCCAGGGCCCAGGAGCCTTTGGGAAGACAGGAAGCGCTGCAATCTGAATGCAATCTTGGGATTTCATGTGGATGTCAGGGCCCCAGCAAAAGCATGTGCGGGCCAAAAAGGGGAAGGTCAAAACCAGAACGACCAGGGCCCTCACGGGAGATACAGCCACTTTATGGCCATGAAAAGGGGTACTCATCTGCCCAACTTCACCTGGGACCCAGCAGCTTGGGTTTGGGGGGGGGGGGGGGTACTGGAAACCTCGTGTGACAACGTGGGATCCCGTTGAGTCACTTGAAGGGGAGGGTATCTCAAAGCAACTCAAAACAAACGCAAAGGGAACAGCTCAACGAGCTTTCGCTCTTCAAAAAAAACACATGCAAAGGAAGTGGACTGTCTCAAAGAAGGTGCGGGTATCTCGACTCAAAGGGTTGGGTTACAGGACATTCTACCGGAAACCAGCTGGATTTAGGGTGCTTTGGGGCCATGTCCTGTAACCAAACCCTTTGATCAACGCAAAACAACCAACTTGCCGCCCTCCCGGAAAGCAAACTCCATGCCTCCTGCCATGTCCTGCCATGCCATCGACGGGCTGACTTCAGGGAGCTTCCATGTTGGACAAAAAAGCAAGTTAACTGAACTAGGTCCTCCAGTAGAGAGGGTAGAACAAGGGTACCCTTTTTTTCTGTAGTCTATTTTAGTAGGGGAACCCTCCCCCAAGAAAGGGTAAAAGGGCACTACTGAGGGACATAGCTTAAGCAACACAGCAGGGGATTGCCCCAAAAGGGGACTCCTCTACCATAAGTCGGAGGTTCACCGATTCCCTGATTCCAGTCGAATTTTGGGAGTTCACTGCGCGGGAGTGGCTTCAGGGATGTCCGTTTGATCGTCCTGCTCAACTTCGACCAACGCCCTGTTGGAGAACCAAAGCGGCGCATTTACCAGAGCCGTGATGAAGCACCCCGCGGCGGTCGAAGATGTACTGCTGATTCCTGAGTCAGCTTCGGGGCGTTCAAAGTTCAAAGTACCCTCCGAAACACGAGGCTTCCTCCATTGCTCCGTGGATCCCAGGCAAGCCACAATAGTACATAACCCTTCGCCATTTTCGTTTTGGTCTTCAAAGGGCTCAGCTACCAAGCAACTATACCTGGAGTCTCCATGACCCTGAAAAAATGGGGTCATGACCCCTTTGTTTGGGGTAATGACCCAATTTTTTAAGGGTCATGGAGACTCCAGGCAAAGAAAAAACTGGAATCACTGGGTGGCGCAAGCGCTCTTGCGTGCTTTCCGGAAAACCGCGGCGCCCTGGAAAAGGCACGAGTTGAAAATTCCCCCAAGGCTCCCTTTCGAGGACCTCAGCCCCTGCTTCAGCAGCTCTTTAGCTGGAACTCATCGGACGCCCTAAGCAAGAACGACAACTGGACAGGCAGAAGGGGCCGGCTGTCGCAGTTGCAAGCAGTGCCTTGAACGGTAGAAGGGAAAACCAGGGAGCTCCCTCCTTTTGGGGGTTGACCCAGTTTTGAGTAGGGAACTCGCCAACATTTCGCAGGAAACAAGCTGGGGTGTTCCAAAGATCCTGGCAACGGTTTCGGATTGCCCCGACTTGAACATCTCTACTCTTGGTATGGTAGCAAAAAACTTTGTTTTTTGCAGACCCCCCAGTAAAAATGAACAGAACCAAAAATCCAAGAAACCAAAAAACATGCCAAGAACAGTGAAGAGAACCAAAGGGCCTGAGTTGTGGTTGGTCCCGACGAACTTGGCATCTCGGCCCTCCTGTAGCGCGCTCAGCCTGCTGCAATACTCCCTGCGTTAGATATTCTGAAAAGCGGACCCCATCCTTTACACGGGTCCCCGAACATTTATGTCCACCAACCATTCTTGGGGTTCCCTCTCCTAGGTCCTTCAGTAGAGAGGTTAGAATAAGGGCACCAACTTTTTTCTGTAGTCAATTTTAGTAGGGGAACCCTCCCCAAAAAAAGAAACGGCAAAAGGGTGCTACTGGGGGACCTAGCCAACAAACAACTCGCCGAGTTGCAAGTTGTGACCCGTGATGTCGCAGAAATACAGGATGGGACCGCTGGCATCCAAGCGATCCAGGCATTCGATCCTGGGCGCCCCTCACGATCGAAAAAACATGTTGCAGATATGGGTGTGGGTCAAAAACAGGGACCCCAAATGGCTTGCCCAGCGAAATGGAGACAAGGACTAAAGCCCGCGGTTTTTTTCTTCCGGTGGTTTAGTTTTGACCCATGCCCCATATCTTGGCGGGAGGGGAGACACACACAATGCTCAGACGCTGCTTCATACTGTGGATGGACAGAATCCCCTGCACCGCTTTGAAACCATGGGAAGCCATGATTCGTTGGTATTTACAGGGAAATCATGAGAATCCAGGGTTCCGTAGGTGGCGCAGGGGTTCGTCCACCTGCAGTATTTAAAAATGAAAAAGAACAAAATAAAGGCTTGATCCCAGGCAAGGTCAAGTAGCTTAAGCAGAGATCTGTGTGCGCTCCGTCAGCGAAGTCTGTTCCGGCCAAATGCAAAGAATTCCGAACCCGCCTGGAGTCTCCTGCTAACCCTTGAAGAGTGGGGGTCATTGCCCAAAAGACGGATTTGGGTCATGACCCCGTACTTTTTTTGCGGGCTCCAAAAATGATTCACCTCACGAAGGACCAGCCCGAGAACTGACAGGTGCTTGCTTCGGCGCTTGAAAAAACCATGGCCTTTTCGGACTAAAACAAAACGGGGAAAAAAAGGGGAAACAAAAAACACGCCAATCGAGGAAGCCCAAAATAAACTGCACGGTTCCAACTTCAGCGGATTTTCTCCAGCCATATGTCTGAACACATTTCTGCAAAGTTTCCAAACCTGAAGTAAGAAGTCCCTAAGGATCTTTAACATCGCAGCTTTGCCCCCCCAGGTCCAGGTGAGCTCGGCATAGGTTAGGCAGTTAAACACCATCCAACCTCTATCCGGACTGACGGGACCTCCGAAAGGTCTCGGACCTCAAGACCGGCCTAAGAACCTTGCGACGAATCCATCACCTGGCTATGGGTCAAAAATGGGGCAACCCCAAAATGGGTTGCCCTGGTAAATGGACCAAGGACTAAGCCTGCAGTCCCCTAGTAGTTTAATTCTGACCCATACCCGCCTGTTGGTTTCCAGGAAGATCATGACAGTTAACATAGAGCCGGCGAAGCCGGTGAAGTCGGAAGTTTAACTGATGTTGATCACGCTCTGGAACGCAGACCCCAACAAAGTTGCTGCTGACTAATGTCTTTGTGAACACTCCCCAAAGGTGGTCCACCTTCAATAGAGGAGAACATAAATATCGATGCCAAAAAGGGCGTCATGGAAAAGTTGGACAACGACTTCAGTTGCTCATCTTGTTGCCTTCTGCGCAACTCTGCCCACAATCAGTGCATCCTGATTGTTTGCCACCAAAATGACCTTCCCAAAAGTATAAGCGCAAAATAACAACGGGCGGGGGCATCATTTGAATGTTTCGGTGGATATAAAGTCGGAACTGGGGGAGTTTCCCTTAGGGGGATGACATTGATAAAATCATAGAGCCTGTCGGAGGTGCCCAAACAATATGTTGAGAAACCAAACACTGGTCCAGCATGTGGTTTCCTGTTGGTCTTACTTTTCCCTTTTTGATTCCTTTCAACTCCCACGCACGGGTCCATTTTGAAAAAATCCGATTCAATCTTGCTTCTCAGCGAACTTCCTTTGGAAGGGCACCGTTTGGGTTAAAAACTTGGCTGGAATTTGGACCCCAGCAAAAACATATTGTTTTGCCTGGTTAGTGGAAAGCAAAGGCAACCCCAAAAAAGCAACAAAGCAAAAGGGGGAGCTAATTCTGGGGAAGAAAATAGTGCCCTTCCAGGCATTGTCCTTTTATCCTTTAAACCTTTGCCTTAGTACCCGGCAGTTGTGAGAAAGGTTCCTTCACTGGCCTTAAAATGGGATGGATCTTTTTCTACTGGATCGATCGGGACCCTTTCGCCCCTGAAACCCAGTAGGTGTTCTGTTGGACAAAAAAATGACGAGAAACTGGCAAAGAAAGAGAACCATAGGTGTCCTGTGGAGAAAACAAACGATAATGAAGAGAACCAAAGGGACAGCGGTGCCATCTGTTTTCAAGCAAACTAGCCCGAAACCTTCCACAGGGTGTCCTTCATGTCCCTTTTCGGAACCTCGACAAGTGGTGATCGTTTCAAAGAAAACCACTAGTTCATTCAACAACCTTTGATTCGGGGGAATCCAGTGACCCCTGTTCAGTGGAAAATGACCACTGTGAAACAAAAACTCACTTGCCCAAAGGACCTCCAAATAAAAGGCTGACCTTTAGGGACCTCTACAAAAAAAAAAAAAAACACAAAGGGAACACCAAAAGGTGCAAAGGCCGGCTTGGAGCAACTGAGACAAGGGCTTCCCAAAGACTACCCTCGACTTTCTTGGGGCCCGTGATTCATTTTCCCCCGCCCGCACGCACCAGGGCCATCTACTTTCCAAAGAGGGCTTCCCCAAAAACTACACCCCACCAAAGACGTCCAGTTGCTTAAGCCTGGGAAAAATGAGAACAGGACCGTCCAATGCTGAAGTCGATTCCCATTAAACACCAGGGGCAAAATACAAAAAATCAAACATCATTTCAGCCAATGGAAGCAAAAGTGGTTGGCTTCCCAAAAACTGGGGCCCCCTCAATTTTGCCCTCCTTTTTGTTTTTAGAGGGGGGGGGGCGGGGCCCGAGCGCTCCTAGGGGCCACGGGTGTCTGGCTGACCGAAGCGGCGAGTTCCAGAGCCGCAGCCCCGAGAACCGCAGCTCCGGCGCCAGCGGCGCGTGGCTCGCGGCCTCGCGGGGCACGCAGTTCCCGAAGAGCCACCTGCGACGGGTCCGCGCGTCCCACGGGGCGCCCGGGAAGGGCCGAGGGCCGTGCCGTGAGAGTCTGCCTCAAATGGTTCAGGGGTCTATGGAAAAAGGAAGAATCGGCATCAATCCTTTTTTTTTGTTGGTTGAGATAGGGGAACCCTTCCAAAAAAAAGGAAGAAAGGGCGCCACTGGGCAAGTGGGTTCCTTCTGACCCTTTAAAGGTGGTTGGTCACTACCGAACGAACCAACGAATCCGGGTCTCTGAGCACTGAGTGGTGGGGGACGGGACCCATAGGGCCGAAGGTACAACATGGCTCCACCTTGAGCCGTTCCGAAATTCCGCCTCAAGCCAAAAATCGGATCGTGGGTTCCCTACCTTGTGAGGAGGTACCTAGAGTCTCCTTCTGACCCCTAGAAAAAGGGGCCATAACCCCTGAATCTTGGGTAATGACCAACCATGTTTAAAGGGTCAGAAGGAGACTCCAGGTATGGCCGCCATGTTTGTTTTGTATCCCTCGGGTTCCCGAAGCAATTCATGAAAAGAATGGCTCACTCAATCTGGATGATGATCCAGACGGGAAGGGGGGGTCATCCGCGCGCACACTGCCATATTGCCAGACGCCATTATTCATAAAAAAATGGCTCACTCAATCTGGATGAAAATCCAAAGGCAAACAACGCTGGGTACATGAAGCCCCATTGAAAAAATGGCTTGAACCCCAGAGAGTATGTTTGCTTGCTCTTTGTTTTTTGGAGCGGGGGTCGCCAAAAAGGTGCTTCGACTCTAGAAATGCTGGCATGCTGGCTGTTTGGTTCCATGTTCATCGGCTAACACGAATGACGCCACCCAACCATCAAGCTTTAGGAACCCCTCAACACTTGGGGTACAACAAAACTTCGATGTTCAGATTTTTTTTTATGAAATCAGCCAAACGCAAATAGAACATATCAATATGAGTAGCACACACAAATCCTTTACTAAACTCAACGCCAAGAGAAAGTTGGGTGGTCCGCCGTGGGTTCTGCAGTGTTTTGAGGCTTTAGCAACACAGAGTTCCAAGCAAGAGAAGACAAGATGGAGGGTCAAAAGGAAGAAAGGGCATACCGGCAATCAGTACTGGGAAGGTGCTCCCCACAGTGATCCAGACGTCCCAAATGGGGCGCCGGTGTTGAATTTCCCATGCCCGGCAATTCATTGGACCGAGGAGCACCCTTTTAAGAAGCCAAGAGGGGCATGAAGAGGATTGCATGAACAGGAGAATGACCATAGAACAGGATATTGGAGCACCCCATTAAGATTGGAGATCAGCAAAATGCTTGGATGATCTTGGATGCTCGGTTTGCTTGAAAAAACGCGAAAACCCCCGAATTCCCTGGGCTTCATTTGACTCGCATTGCCCTGACTAAGCAAGGCACCCTAAACAAAAACACTGCCTTGGGATAGGGCCCCAAAGCATGACCAAACAAAAAGACATCGACCTGGAGCCTCCATGACCCTTAAAAAATGGGGCCATGACCCTCTGTATTTTGGGCGATGAGCAAAACCATTTTCTAAGGGTCAGACTCAGAGACTCCAGGTCGATTCGGATCGTTAAAATCATGTCACTTTTTGTGGAGCTCCGAAGCCAGCTTCGCCGTGAGGCAACTCTGCAGTTTCCTTTGTTTGGGGGTCTGAGTTGCCCGACTTACCAATCTATTAGGAGACCCTGTCCGGGGCCACTTGGACATGGACATATTTCAGGTGATCACCTTTTGACCTTTTGGGTTGTCGTGACTAATGGGAACCCAAAAAACTCGCTGAACTCAGAAAGTCAGGTACTTCTGTATAAAGCTCTTCTCGTTCACTGGAGTCTCCTTCTGACCCTTTAATCAAACATGGTTGGTTGGGGACCCGAATCTTTCTTCTGGGTCATGACACCCCATTTTTGATTGAAGCGTCAGACTCGGAGACTCCAGGTAAACAGGTTGAGCTTTATACACATGTACCTCACTTCCTGAGTTCATGGACTTGCAACTCTTAATATGCATTACTTCCACTTGCTTCAGACTCGAAGACTCCAGGTGCACGCGAAACCCATCCCCCCTTGATTCAGGTCCGGAGACTCCAGGTACACTCGAACCCCCCCCGCCCCCCACCCCGATGCCCCCGCCTGCAGTCCATGTGGCAATACTCCTGGCCGTGGCCTTGAGGGCAAAGGGCGCAGCTGGCGGCGCTGTGACCACCGCAGACCACCTGACGCTGGAAGACGCAAGACCTGGACCCTGGGACCCCCAGACGCCCCCCCGAAAAGAATCCCCCCAAGTGGACCCAATTCGGATGAGCATCCAATGAAAAATCATGGTGGTTCGGTGAACCCCCATTGGTTTAATGCTGGTTTGAACCCCAGGGTGTCCCTTTTTAACAAATTAAAACCAGGACTCCGACAAACATCACACCCGCAATGTGTCCTGTGTTCCTGCTGCGTTTGAGGAAAAATCGCAAAGAAGGAGCACTGCCTCTCGGGTACCCTCAACAAAATTGACCGATCCAGATCTCTGGGCGGACTTTGAGTTTCAGGGTTGAGGGACCTTGCCAAGTGGTTTGCTCTTAGGAGAAAGGACACTGCCTTGATTCATTTAAGAGGGAACGAAGGCGTTGGAAGGTGTTTGGTTCATTTAAAGAGAAACCAAGCCCAAAGAAAAGGAAACATGGCAGAGCTCACTAGACATAGGTCTCACAGAAATTCACTTGCAAACGGAAAGACGCAACGCACAAACAACAAATGGGCCGCATTGCTGTGCGCTTGGGCGCTGGTTCAAAAGGAAGCCACCAAAAAAACAAATTTGCAGGGTGCAAAGACCCCAGATGGACACTGCTGGTGCGTGTCCGGCTGTCCGGCCTGGTGCCCGCTCTCAGACTGAGGAGAATCGAAATCGTCGGGGTGAGGAAATCCGTGGGGCAACATGTTGGCCAAGTGGAAGTGGGTCGTTTTTGCCTCGGATCGTCGGGCAACTCATTGGGCGCTCCGTTTTCAGGTCCGCTAAAAGTGAATAACTGTAGTGGCTTAAATGGAAAAATCCGACCACTAATCCAACTAAAGCTAAAAGCATACCTGGAAGATCAGTTTCCGCTTCAAGTCAGGTGCCATGATAGTGGGAGGGCCAACTACAGCTAAAAACCTAGGGCGATGTGACAATTTTCGTGGGACACCCCTGAGCCAATTAACAACTTAAAAAGCAAGGCTGGGAACCACCAAGATCAGGAGTGGTCTACCCAAGCTTCACTAGGCCGTGGCTCATTTCTTGTAACCGATGCGTCCCTCTTTAAACGGGGCCCGAAAAGTGTGCCCGCATTTTTTTAAAGTCGAGGGCCTGCAGAAAGTAATAACAACAACAACACTCTAGGGGTTGATTCCCCATTCTTTTCAACCATCGTTCTTTTCAAAAACCGGATCTGTTTCCCCTGGGTTGTTGATGGCTTCCTGAAAAGAAACTTGGATCCCTGGGTTCAGAATGGACATGGAAGGTACCCCTAGAAACATCGGCTCACTTCCTGAGTTGATGGGCCAACAAGAGTCCAAATCTGTTGTTTTACCACCAACACGTCTTCCCAAAAAATAAAGTGAGTCGGGAAGTGAGGCGGGGGACTCGGTGGCTTTTTTGATGATCATAGATGTGATGATGAAAACTCCCGAGGCCTCACTTTCCATGACCTTGCCCTCTCCCCCACCCCGCCCCACCCCACCAGTCATAGAGGGCGAAGGCTGCTATGAGTGTGAAGGTAGCTTCGTGAAGCTCTCAAAATGGGTGCGCCTTTGTTTTAGGGGACGTTTAAAATGGCGAAACAACTTTCCTTGAAGGGTTCCTTTAAAACCATCCAACAAGGTTGGCGCCAACTCCACAGAAAAAACTGACCCAAGCTGCTCTAAAAATTGATGCCCATCCCTACTTCCACGTCAAGGCATGGACTCTGCTTGGCTTGCCAATCCTAGGACGCTGGATTTTCTACACACTGTGGAGTATACCCGGAATATATAGTATATTGGAATACCCACCAAGATCCCGCCTTGAGGGTTGTTCAAAACACAGGGCTGAATACTGTGAATGGGCAACATCTTGCACGTAGCATACACCGTGCGAAGTGGGACATGCCAAGCGGGTACGTTAAGCCCATCCGTAGTATGGGGTATAGCGGTCCGTCGGTTTGTGGATTGGTGAGTCTCCTTTTGTTTCTTTCTGACGACAAAACAACAGCACGTCAACACTTGGGTGACTTCCTTGAGACAGACTTCGACCCGGCACCGCCTTTAATCCGAAAAGAGAACGTCAGCAGTGCTTCCAGGCAACTATTTTGCAACCAGAGGAAACCCTCCCATGGTAAAACCTGGTAAACGCGCCGAAGGCTTAGCTGTGGCGTTAAAAGCCCCCCCAAACTTCCATTTGCTTAAGCCCCCTGGAGAAAAATCAAAACAAAACAAACAAGTAGTGAAATCGATTCCCCTTCAAAACAACAGGGGAAACTAAAGCATATTCTTAAGCAAATGGAATTAAAGGACACTCGGACTTACAATGCCCGCGGACATGTTGGAGCATGCACCAAGGATTCGGTTGCCGCGTTCGTTTGACCACGACTTGGGTTGAACCACGCCTCATTTTGGGGTTCCCGGGGAGGCAGGGGCGGTTTGAACGTCTTTTAGGGGAACAAGCCTGGTTTGACCGAACTGCGCTCAAGCAAATTCAACTCAAGTGAAAGGGTTGATCACAATGCGAGGTACGCCCAAATCCCAAGCCAGGAATCCCCAGAGATGTTTCACATGCTCCGAATTCTTGCCAGGAATGTTGTCTTCACTATCAGTGTTGTTTGTTTTACTCTCTCTCTCTCCCTCTCTCTTTCTGCAAAAGCACGTGCAAAAGCAAATTCCATGCAAGCTTAAACAGCTGGCCCGTGACCAACATGATTTAACCACTGGGCAACAACGAGAGTCAAGTTTGGAAACTGAGAAGGTAACATGTGAGCGGCATTCAAACCGGTCTGGTTGACAGTAACTCTTATGCCGAGTTTACGCGAGCACAGGGGTAGCGTCCGCGGACACACAGGCCAGTGCGCATTCGCAACACACCTACACGGCGTAAAGCGCCTCCACATGTTGTTCTTGCAGCACTTGGGGCGGGGGGGGGGCTTGTGACCAGCCCCCCGTCAAACCCAAAGCAATCTGGATTTGACCCCCACGTCTCCGATTTATTCCGGGTGTTTCCTTCTGATGAAAAGCAGTCCCTCAAATGGTAGAAACTCCAACAGCACACGAGCCCCGTGTCGTGTTTCCCACTCGTCCCGCTTCTTTGTTACTGTGCTCCCGGCTGTCTGGATTTGGGATTTGTGACCGGTTTTTCGGTTCCACAAGACCAAGCCGAGCCAAACTAAACTCCCTCCACTAACCCTCAATTTTTTGATTTGTGTCTGGGAAACCAAACTAACTCCCTCCACGCCGAGCCCAAGCCGAGCCCGGTTCGACGGATCGACGGATCGAGATCCGAGTTGCAGTGCACTTGGCCAAGCCAAGACCTCAGTCCGATCGGCTCCGAGTGGCTCGGAAGCGGATGCCGTTCCCACCAACCGCTGAAACATCCCCCCTACCGATAGAGGGGAAGGGGGGTGGGGGGTCCCCAATTCCATTTGCTTAGTCTGTGCCATGAAAGGGCAAATGGAACCACAAATGGAATTCCAGGGGTCGCCCCCTCCCCCAATTCCATTTTTGAGGAAGTGGAGATCATGAAACCAATGGTTGGGTTAGTATAACCCCCGTTGCTTTGATTCTTCAGGATGTTCATCCAAATTGGGTCCTTGCCATTTCTTTTGATGGCAAGGAACCCCAGGGATACTATGATCATGACTAGCGCCACCACCCGATTCTAACTACATGTCCCTAACAGATGCCCCTAGCTCTGAGTCCGGCTTGCTTCCAACCATCAGCAACCTGGTCTCTTACTGACCCCTGGAACAAATGGGGTCATTACCCGGAATAAAGGGGTCATGGAATCATTTTTGAAGGGTCAGAAGGAGACTCCAGGTAGATAAGCTACTACTCGGGGGAGGGGGATCATTTTCGAACACCGATTTTGGATCATTTTCGAACACCGATGTCCTGGATCATTTTCGAACACAGAGTGGGTCATTTTCGAACACATGGGGGGGCTATCCTGCGGCACCCGTGGGGTGGGGGGGGGGGGTGGCGTGGGGCAGTTGCGTTCGCCTCTTACTGCGTGCCCGTGCAACTGCGCCCTGGGGCTGGGGGAAGGGGGCAACCAGGAGGCTCCGAGTCCCAAGTTACCTTGGCTTTTTGAGCTAAGGTGTCCTCGGCGACTTGCGCTCGTTGGCCCCCGTAAAGCCGTGAAAGCTCGGTCTAACGGCCGTAATTAATAACTCGCGCGGGAAACTGAAAGGCCGCTACTACTCCGTGAAAAAGCCGTGAAAACTCGTGAAATTTCAAGCTCTGAGTTATCTTGTCCTCGCGACACAAAAAACCTCCTTAGCTCATACAGCCTAAGTAACTTGCGAATCGGAGCCTCCTGGAATTGCGATCGCCGCTTACTGCGTGGCGGCGCAACTGCGTATTGGGGCTGGGGGGGGGTGGGGGTGGGGTGGGGCAGTTACGTTCGCTTCTTGCTGCGTGACCGTGCAACTGCGTCCTGAGGGGGGGGGATGGGGTAGGGCAGTTACGTTCGCCTCTTACTGCGTGACCGTGCGACTGCGCGCTGGTGGTGATGGCGGTGTTGTTGGTAGCGATGATGACGATGTTGATGACGATGTTGATGATGATGGTCATGATGATGATGATGATGATGATGATCATGTTGACCATGTTGATGATGATGTTGATGATGATGATGATGACGGTGATGATGTTGATGATGATGGTGATGATGTGAATGATGATGGTATTGATGTTGCCGATGAGGATGTCGATGGCGATGACTTTGATGATGTCGATGATGATGGTGATGTCGACGTTGATGTTGATAATGGTGATGATGTTGTTAATGATGATGACGATGTTGATGATGATGGTAATGATGATGGTGATGATGATGATGATGATGATGATGTTGACGACGATGATGATGATGATGGTGATGATGATGATGATGATGATGATGATGATGATGATGATGATGATGTCGCTTTGCGTTCCTTGTGCTTTGTGTTCCCGGGTCTACAGTTGACGATTGTCTCCCAAAAGCACGGCGCCATCCATGTGCTACACGTGCATCGTGTTCGTGCGCCTCATCGTGGTGTGCATGGACACTTGGAAAATGGCCGTGCTGCTGTAAATCACATACACTTGAGCAAAACCGCGTTCAAAAACGAGCCAAAACACGCGTTCAAAAACGAGCCAACACACGCGTTCAAAAACGACCACCTTCCCCTACTCGGCCGCTTGCTGTATGAACCTCGGGCAATCCTCTTCGGGCAATCCCCGTGCAAACCTCAGAGGTTGAGTGAGGTCCATGTAGTCGGATCGGTGTCCGCATTGTCCATCCCCAACTGAGCTCCAAATGGGCTTGTTTTTCTCTTTTGCTTTGAGGGTGTGTACCCTTTTTGGGGGGTAGAGGAAAACCGATTTTGTTGGGTTCCCTAAAATACAAGAAACACGCCGGACACCTCGACCCTCTAGCTTTCGTCTGGTACAGGTTGCTTTGCGATCAATTCGTCCCCAAAACAAGCCGCGCACTTTCGGCAAACTGACCCACAAAGACTGGATAACATGAAGGCTCCATCGACTTTGTTTTTTGGAAGTCGTGAACGCACCGAACGCTTTCGCCCATGGCGAAGCTAAAGCGTGGCCCGAGACTCGGGCCTTTGGAGAGCTTGGTCATGCATTGGTCCGTGCCTCAGTCTCGCTGCTCGAATTTTCGACACTGCTTCCCTCTCCCTTTACCTCTCTACAGGAATGTCACGGGTTTCCCATGTACCCCAAGAAGGCTTCAAACCCCCAAACCACCAATCCAAACCACCAACTAAGAGTTACCTGACGGTGACTGGGACTTGTCTCGCCTGTTGCAGGATGCAGGATGTTTTCCAGTCACAATAGACAGTTGCTCCTTTGAAAAAAATAAGCATGACCCAGTTTCAATGTCTACCCTTGTGGCCGAGTTGTTGAGCGTCGGAGAACACCTGGTTGAAATTGGTTGCTCACTGAGTTCTCCATGTGTCAAGTTCTTTCGTTAAGCCAGCGGAAAGGGCGTAAGCATTTTGGCAGTCCTTGAAAGTTGGTCTTACAAATAAAACACACGGAAACCGACCCTGTCTTGGCAGGTTGCTTTTTGAGACGTGTTCCCGCTGTAGCTGGCTGACGTTGAAGGGGACAGACATGTATACGGCCCAGATCGACAACACAACCAGCGCTTGAACAACGTGCAAACACGCCCGGGCCGAAAAACACTGAATAGCACGGGGGACCAGAAGGAACTCGCAAACAACGCATGAGTGCCCGACAGCATTGCCATCAGACACCGCTAGGGGACTCTTCATGAACCTGAACCTGCAAAAATCGAAAGCCCCAAAAGCGATACCGCGACCACAACTGGGTGCTAAAAAAGTGGGGCTGAGAGAAATAAACAACATCCCTCGTCAGGTTTCCGCAAGGAGAAACTAAACATGTATGTATGGGCAACACAACAGCAAACAAACAGACGGACAGACAGGCAGGCAGACAAACAGACAGACGGGCAAACAAATAGACAACCAAACAGAGAAACAGACAGACAGACAGACAAAGAAGAAAAGCAAGCCAGCAAGCAAACAACCAACACACATGCAACCACACACGCACACAAACACACGCACGCGCACGCGCACGCGCACGCACGCGGGCGCACGCGCACACGCACACGCACACGCACATGCGCACGCACATGCACATGCACATGCACATGCGCACACCCACACACAACACACACCCACACACCCCCACACACACACACACACACGCGTCAACAAACATACATACAAACAAACAAACAAACAAACAAGCAAGCAAACAAACAAACAAACAAACAAACAAACAAAGAAACAAGCAAGCAAGCAAGCAAGCAAACAAACAAACAAACAAACAAGCACACAAACACACAACACAAAACAAAACAAAACAGAACAAAACAAAACAAACACCACACGCCAACCAGCTAGCTAACTCACTTCGCCTCGGCCCCTAGGGCCGGAAAGCAGTCTCTTTCAGAACCCGTTCGGAATCTGCCCGCCAACAAAAATCCCTGCTCCAGCTGCCTCAGTCAAATCCCGGTCAAATCATCTAGACATTTCCTTCCAGAAACCACTCAAAACCTTCAACTCCGGTCAAATCCCCTCTGAAAACCGTAGAAGAAGCCAGTCAAACCCCCTCTAAAATCAAGGAAAGCGGTCAAATTCCCTAAAAAACTTGTCCAAACCGCCAAGTCCCCCCTACAAAATGGCAAAACTCCCCCTAGAAACTAGTCAATTTTTCTGGACTTGTGCACCTTCGCTTGGCCCAAGCCTGTAGCTCTCTGCGTCTCTCGTTCTGGCCCTTGAAGCCATGTGGAAACGCGCGGACATGTAGGCCAACACAACACAAGCACAGTATATATCTCAACGCCAGCCAAAAGCGGACTGGCCGATGCGGGCAACGCGAAGCGTTTACAATAAACTGAACTGAACTGGAATGAACCAAGCCAAGCTAAGGTAACCAACCAACCAACCCACCAACCAACCAACCAACCAACCAACCAACCAACCAGCCGACCGACCGACCGACCAACCAACCAACCAACCAAATCACCCACCCACCGACCGACCGACCGACCGACCAGCCAGCTAGCCAGCCAGCCAGCCAAGACTAACTAAGCAACCAACCAAGTAACTAACCAAACTGACTAGCGAACCTACCAACTAAACTAACTGACAGCCTAATTAGCTATATAACTAAATAACTACTTACAGTGCACGGGAAATAAACCGACACCACATCAACTAAACTACCTAGCTAAATAAGCAGCAAGCCAAGCAAACACACACATTGACTAGCCAACCAACCAACCAACCAACCAACCAAACTGACTAACCAATCAATCACACAAACACTTACTAGCCTAGCCAACTAAAGAAGAACTACTGTGGATGGACGAAATCCTGCAGCACCTAAGAAAAAACATGAGACACCATTGTTTGTTGGTATTTACCAGGGAATCAACATTCCAGGGTTTCTTAGGGTGGTGCGAAATGGATTTCGCAACCATCCACGGTAGGATAGGGGCAAGGTTGGAGGTTCTTGCCGAAGGCACCCTTCAGCTGCAAGTGGAAAACTTTGTCCGGCAGCACACCCCCACCCCGGTAGAGCCTCGCTTGCGAGTCACGTTCAGCGGCGAAAAGGGTGCTCTTTGGACCCGTCAGGCCCTTTGGCGGACATCCCAAATAAAAGGGATGCCCTCTAGCTGGTGGTTTGGAGTGGTTAACCTTGCCAACTTGCCACTTGCGTTTTGAAAGAAAGTTGAAGCAACAGGAGTTCCCATCCTCTTGGCTTGTAACAAGCTGATCCCAAACTTTGACACACAGAACCGCCACTTGCCTGTCTTGAGGCCAACCCTTGTCGAAAAAAAGGCTACAGGACACCGCCGAGTTGGGGGAACTAAAGGACAAATCCAGATCTCTGCCCTAAGGCGAACCCAGTTGATTTGGTGTGGCTCAAAATTAAAGAGCTGGGGGGCCAACCGCGGGTTTTGGTCTTTGGTTCCATTTACTAGGGCAAGCCATTTTGGAATTCCGGTTTTGTGAGCCACAGCCAGTTGACTTATCAGGCTTCCATCCCTGGCAGAGTGCAGCAGCCCCGGAAAACGAGCCCCAACCATGAGTTGCTGCGGTGGCACTCATATCTTTGGGCATCCCGCGGTTGCGGCTGTCAACCGAAAGCAAATCGGCGGATCGGTGACATATGCACAAATTCGATCTGCCCCGGCATTCGGACTGGTTTAGAGAAAAACAACTATAGGACATCCGATTGCTATTTGAATCACCCTGACAAACACATGACCTGGGGCCTTCCAAACAAAATGCAAAGCCGGCAGCTGCTGTCAGCCTATGTTGGCACTGTAAAGGGTCCCGTCTCCATGAAAAATGCACAAACTAGACGTCATCCAGAAGTAAGGGATCCCTGTAGGAAATGCATGCGGCCCGAGATCGACTGGATTGGTTTCGAAGACCCGGAAGACCAATGGGATTCATTGGAGGTACTTGGCTCTCTGGAAGTTCGTATTGGGGGCATGAGCCAAGCCAAGAACATCCCAGTTGAGAAGAGCTGAAAAACCAGTGATCTTTGCTTTTGTTATCATGGTTGCAAAGGCTTCATCTAGGTCAACCTCAAAACAGACAGACCCATCCAAGCCTTTCTATCATCTTTTTGAATCCAGTCCTTCTCTGGAAAAATCGGAGCTCCCTTCTCAGTGCTCCCTCTCGTTCACGGGGTCAAACCCTGGCATTCTTCGCACCGACAAACACCTCACCAAGGGGCAGGGCCAAGGGAAAGCAACAGGAAGCTGAAGAACAAAGGGGGGTGAGGGTGGGCCTGGGGGTCGGGCTGACTCTAAGTTTGAAGCAAAACCAAGAACAAGCCACCACGAAAAGATGTCGAGTGCTATGGGCACGAGCCTATTCTGCGGCCCGGAACCCTATTAGAAACCAATACCCTCAGAGAAGGTGGTTGCAACATCTACCCCCTACTCCAAATACCCGCTTTTTTCAGGGTATGTTTGGGAAAACATTGTTTTTTTCATGGTAAATACATCCTTTTTTAGTAAAGGGTCGACATCATACCCTGAAAAACCTGGGTATTGGGTGTAGGGGGTAAATAGACCCTGGGTGTCCATCATACGGGGGGTTTTCCCACCCAGTTCTGCAAACCCATCTGCTTCCTGAGGCCGCGGCGTACGGAATCTGTGCAGGAAGTGGACGAACGGTTTGCACTGCAGGTCCTCGCATCGATTCAGTGGACTGGGCACACTCGCAAAGCGGCAACCATCAAGACCCCAAATGTCAACTTCGGATTGACTCGGAGGACCGTACGAATCAGTGGCTCCCCTTTTAGTAAGGAAAGGATCTTTTTAAGGAGGTTACTCTGATTGGCGGAGTCCTCCTGATTCATCCGAGGTTGACAAAATAGTAAGGAGCCTGCATCGTGGAACTCGCTTTACCTGCGGATGGATGAGCTTGCGGAAATTTTGCCCAGCCACGTCATGAGACCACCACTTTTTGCGTGCCCTCCTTGACACATACCCACTCGATGATTCCCACGGGCATAGGTTCTAAGAGTTGGAACTCCTCCAAAGTGGTTGGACATGACTCCCAACCCATACTGTGGATGGTTGCGAAATCCTCTTCTCGCACCACCTATTATAAGAAAGCCTGGCTTCTGATGTGTTCACTGTAAATACCAACAATCGTTATGGTTTCAAACATGGTTTCATTTCGTGGTGCGAAATGGATTTCGTCCATCCACATTATCATGTCCACCGTTTCTAGGCCCGCAAATTCAGGCCTGAATTTCCAAATCAGATTGATGGAACCACGGGGGTTCCTTATGCTCGCCTTTTTCAGGGTCATCTCTTAGGTCTCTTCTGAGTCCAAGTGCCCCTTGGAACAGCTGCTGCCGGGAGAACCAAGATTTACCCGTGTTGCCAATGTGGTCCCAAACAACCCTTAGGTCAATATATGCCCATATTCATGTAACCAGGCGGGTATGTGTCAAACTTTTTTGGCACCGGCAAACAACATTGGTGATTTCCCATTCGTTTCCCCTTGAACCAACCGCAAAACTGGATACCCTCAAGAAGCCACACCCCCCCAAACCACTTCTCTCCTGGATGCGCCGCGTTGCTGCGGTGACGTTGAGGCTCGGATCCAGGGTGCCATCTCGGAACTTGTCCTGGCGGTCCCCCGCTTCAAGGGGGGTTATCATAAATCTCCGTTTGCTTTTTTGTGGCCTGGAAAAGAGCAAAAACACATGCTTTCAGCGGTGATAGATTCCCCAAGCCAAGAGGGGGACACATTCTTAATTAGGCAAATTGAAGCTGGCAAGGGGGGAAACAATGGATTTTCCACGCAGCAGGTGTTGCCCAAAAAGCCAAACATCTGGCTGTGAAACACCGTTTTGATAGATCCGCTGGAAAATCACCTTTGTAAGGCGTGCAGCGGTCCAATTTGGTCATACAAGGCCTCTGAGTTTTTGCATGTGTCAAGGGTATCCAGTTCCCTTCTGTGGGAAGGTGGGGGTCCCCAATTCCATTTTTCGGCCTCCCCATAAAAGGGAAAATGAAAGCATTCCTGAAATTCCAATCACCCCCCTCCCCCAAACTCACATCAGATTCCTAGAGCTAAAGAAGCCAATCGGCTTGGTTGCTGGCGAGGCCAGTCTGCAAAACATTTATCACTTGTGGGGCCAACTCGGAAAATCCCGTGCCGGTTTCAATCAAAACGTGTTTAAGTCCAAAGATCCACTACCAAATAGCCGGAAAAGTTCCTAAACCGTGTGAGTCATAGGACAAACAGGCTTGGGGTTGGAAAGACCGGGGTTCCCAAGAAGCATCACGTGTGGAAACCATCTTGGAATCCGACTTTTTGAAGGTAGGCCATACCTATAGTGGGTTACAGGGCTTGCGGCAGAATACCTGAAGTTGGTCCTGAAACCGAATTCTCCGCAACCGCGGGGGTGTTCAGGGGTCGCTGGATTTCCGGAACGGGTGGTTTTCCGCGTAGATCGATCGCCACTGCAAGGAGCTCCAGCTAGAGTCTCCATGACCCTCAAAAAAAATTATCCTTACCCAACATAAAGATACGGGTCATGAGTCATGACCAACCATGTTTTAAGGGTCAGACTCGGAGACTCCAGGCAGTTGAAATTCCGGGATCCCGGGTGGGCAACACTCCACGGCCCCGCTTTGAACTCGCCGAACCAAATGGCGGCCACTCTGGCCAAGTTGTCCTTGAGCAGAAGGCTCCGGGATGGGTGGGATCGGTCTCAAAGGCAAGCGATGATGCTGTGGATGGACAGAATGCGGCACCACCTAAGAAAGCCTGGAATGATGATTCCCTGGTAAATGTAATAATGGTCCATCCACAGTAGTAGGGGCAAATGTAAAGGGCACAAAGGGCAAGAAAGCCTTAGCAAAACTTCGTTCATGGTCTTCTGCCCCTACCAACATAAATGAAGAACATCCTTCCCCAATTCCATGATTCCCTTTGTTCAGTTGCCTTTTGATGAAAATAGGAGGGAATGCCGGATTCATTTGCCCCAGTTTATTAAGGGGGCCCCGCAACCCTATGAAGAACATGAAGAAGGACGGGCCCTGTTCGTGCGGGGTCAGCAATAATGTTGACCCAGGATTAATAAACCCGTCCCATTATTAGGGGGGTGGAAACACCTCCAAAAGTGGTCTGAATCCCCACTAAAAGGGGACACCCCCCAATCAAAATCAACCAGGGGTTCTGCTTCATCCGGGGTTAACATCAACTTTATTCTGGTGGAAAAAGCCATGTTTCAAATGGTTGTAACATGGCGATCTTTTAAGGAGCCCTCAATAACTGGGAGGGTTTATGACTTAGGGGTTGAGACTTACTCGCCCCGGTTTTCCCGCGGAAGAAACACAAATGGATCCCTGGTGGTTGATTCGTTTCTTCAAGGGGCGGAAGCCCTCCACCAAAGGATCCGAGCGCCAAGCGTTGTGAGGGAAACGATTGGCCCCATCGGCATGAGGGTAAGTGATTGGCCCCTGATTCACCTAATATAAAAAGAAGAAGAAGAAGAAGAAGAAGAAGAAGAAGAAGAAGAAGAAGAGAACCAAGCAAACACAAATTTACCAATTTGTCCAGGCGGTTTGGGAGGTTCGAGACTCAAACTCAAAGCAACGCTAGGTAGCGAAGGCCTCCCTCTGACTTTGAATGGTAGTTTCCTGGTGTCTGGCTATTTCCTGGCAGAAACACGGAACTTTTTGTGGGATTGGCGATTTGAGTGGGAAGCCATCAAACTGAAAATTTGAAGGGTGGAATCCACTGAACCACTGGCATCATCACCCGTTCTCAGGCTTCGGGAAAGCCCCACCTCACCTGTTCGCCTCCACCGATTTCGGCCGGCTTCACACACGCACAGACACGCTCTGATCTACACCTCTGGCCACCGGCCCGCGAAGTTGCCCTAACCACAAACAAACCTGGCAGCTTTAGTCCGGCCCTTGTAACGTTCGGAGAAAAAACAAAAAATGAGAAGAGCGTGCGAGCCCAGGCGCTGTGTGGTGGTGCAGCTTGAACTTCGACAACGTCCGAGGATCCGAGTCGACACGCCACATGTGCCTGGCAGTGACCCGAGGGACCCGAGTCCCCATCGAACACACCCACTGAAAGTGAGTGGCCGGCTGAGGTGTTTTTCTTTTTTTTGCATAGCCCTGGCATTAGCCTAACCCTGGCAAAGCCTGGCGTGCACGGGAGACACCCGACAAAGGTTTGGGGTTTAGGGTATCCGTGAGTGCTTTGTTCACAAGACTGATACTCCCCTCTTCCTCAATGGATTGGCCAGCAAACAAAAAATCAGACTTTGTGTTTACCACTCAATCGGGATTCCCAACATGTGATAAGTCCAGGAACTCGGGAAGTGAGTCACATGGATTGCAAAAGGCCCTCCATTTTGGAGGCCAAAGTGCCCAGGTAGCCTTGACGGCTCCTTTGGAAGGCCTGCTTTGAGGGCCCCAGAGCACAGCTCGACCCCAGCTGGATGTGTGAGTGTGTGTGTGTGTGTTATTGAGAGGATTTGGTTGCTGAGTGGAAAGGGAAGCCCAAAAAGAACACCACCATTTTGCAAAGTCCTCGAAAACAGGGCACACCCAGCTGCCAGTCCGGATGAAAGCATTGCTTCTATATTGCAGTGCTAGTGCCAACTCTCTCCCCAACTTTCCCATGCTTAGCCACTGGCTCAGTGGGTCATCGCCAAAACCTGGCGTTAAAAGACTCCATGGCTAACGAGCACCCCCGCTCCCGAAAGAACAAAAACCAGTCACAGACCCAGTTTTCTGCACCAGCCCCAACAAGCGCCCGCCCCCCCCCCTCCAGCCCTGCGCCCAGCCCCTCGCCCACGCCCACGCCCACGCCGATGCCCGGCGCGCCGTCCCGCGATCCGCGATCTGAGCCGAGGAGCGCGATGCGGCTGGACTTGGCACGGAGGATGTCGCCACCGCAGAGCCAGGCGCGCAGGGATTGGTCCGTGTTCTCCCCGCCCCAGCCTCGACTCGGAAATTCGAAAGCCACCAGACATTTTCTTTTTTGCAAAACCATATTCATTTCAGCACATGAAAGTTGCCGCCACAAATGCTGGTGTATTGATTCGCTCCCGGCCAGGCGAAAAAAGCCGCGCCTCGCATGCCGGGGTCGAAGCCCCCGGAGTCTTGCCACCACTTCCTCGTGGCCAGTGGAACCCAGCCCCCCAGTGACCGGCCTTCCCCCCCCGTGACCAGCACACTTTTTGGGGCCAGAAGCGAGCAGCCCCCCCCCCAAAAAAAAAAAACAATTGCAGACTTTTTTTGGGCCATGAAGGAACATTTGCACACTTTTTGGGGCCACCACTCAAATGAAGGGCCAGTGCAAGTGACCCGCCACCAACAAAAAGAATGGTGCGCCACTTTTTGGGCCATGAGGGGAGAGCTTTTTGGGCCATCACTCACGTAATCTCTTCCCCCTATTAATTAACCTGCCTGGCGGCAAACAAACAACCAGTACACTGAAATACAAATAGAATGATACAAAAAAAGTTCCTTATTAAACCGCTTACTCGCGGACCTTAGAATTCAATCCATTTCCTCCAAATCCTATGTGAACCCTCACATTGTTGGAAAAGCAAAAAAACAATTCCGAAAACCCCAATTAAAAAGCATATTTTTGGGGGAGGATTTTTTACTAATTGGGGGGGGGGGGGGACCCGTATTTATTAATTAGCCAGCATGTACGGGAGAGAGACAGTTGCAGCTAGACAGCTTTTGGGGACATGTTTTCTTTTGAGGGACACCACCCCAATAAAGAACCCAATTAGGATTGGGGCTGGAAGCTTGTTAAAAGTGCCCCCTAATAAGGATTCCAAGACTTTAGTATTGGTTTAGTATTGGCGCAATGGAAAATCAATTGTGCGGAGTGGAAATCTGGTCCCGGGCCCCGGATTTCCATTTTTTATTAACTGGGGTCATTCATTAATAGGGGAAGAGATTAAAGGGAGAGCCACCCAAGGAAAACAAAAGCCTAACGTGCGCCCACTGGCGCGGGCGAGTTTCCGGGTGGTGGCCACCAACCCCCCGCTGATCACCGGGATGAAGTCCGACTCGTCGTCGTACCTCCGCCGCCGCTGGCGCTGGGTCGCTGGCGCTGGGTCGCTGGCGCTGGGTCTCTCGATCTCTCGGGCCGTGTTTGGAGTCACTTGCTCAAGCGGCCTCGCTTTTCTGCCTTTGTACCCCTTTTTCATGGGTCAAAGGCAGAAGAAATGAGTCACTTGCTCAAAACCCGGTGTTAAAATGGTCGTAATCCCAGAACCATGCTTCAAGAATTAAGAAGGCGGATATCCGCGACGATTTCCGGCTGGGACTGCCCCTGACCTTCATCCACCCGAATCGGTTTTGAGCAAGTGGCTCTGTTGAGGGCAGCCCTGTCAGCTTGAAGCAAGGGAAGTCAAAAGGAAACAGGAATGAGAACGGAAAACAGCGAGAGTTGTCCAAAAAAATCCAAAAAATGTCAGACACCATGGCTCCAAATCCTGTGCTGTGCCCAGCATGTCGTATAATTGTATAGCTGCAAAAACACCTAGCTTCGTTCTGCTGAGCTGCCACCAGAAGTCCGCATTGAAGTTGATGTAGCCTTGCAGTGCCAGTGAGAGTGCGTGTCACACATAAATATAATCCCCTGCTAAAAGTGAATAACTTGTGGGCTAAATGGACACCCAACTACTAAACCAACTAAAAGGCTAAAACGCTAAGGAGATGGCTGGGAGCCACCAAGACAACACATATACGCACAGACTTGCGCACAGCTTAGCCATCGGCGACATATGTCGCTGATGATGGCTTTGGTTCTACGGGCGCCCCTTTTGACAAGTGGAACATCTCCCTGGAGTCTCCTTCTGACCCTCAAAAAATGGTTGGTCATTACCCAAAATAAAGATTCGGGTCATGGACCCATTTTTCAAGGTTCAGAAGGAGACCCTAGGTCCCCAAGAACCGTGGAGCTACCACTGCGGCCGGCTACGTCCATTGGATTCCAGGTGCCAGGGCTGGGAAGCGACACAATATACATATGGGTACATCTCAATAAAGCGGGGGAGCCCCAAAATGATTGGTTGCTCTTCAGTCTCCTCTAAGATCACTATATAATATATTATATGGGAGCCTAAACAAAACACGCTCCCATATGATGTACCGTTCAAGAGAAAATGTTGCTTCGTTCAACCGTGGCACATGTGTTTGTCGTTTTTGCAGGGATCCTTTTGCGGCAGCCACACACCAAAGTGCGTTGTGCAAACAAACCCAGTTGACTCTTCCGCGCAAGCATTCCTCAGTTCCCTATCTTCCCGAATAAAACGTCACCCCATCAAAGGAACCTCATCTTAAATGGGCCACACATGCATTGCTTAAAAACCACACAAAACGGGAAATACAGGGACCCCCAGGGTGCCCAGAGTTCAACTGAGAGGTTTCCCTGGTTTCTTTCAACCCTACATTCATGCCCGAGCGGCATTTGGCAGTGAGTGCGCCGTGCACCTCGGCTTCGGCAAGTGAACCGACAGGTAAAGACTTGGAGCTTGGAGTCTCCGAGTCTGACCCGAAAATGGTTGAGCATTACACCAAGTAAAGATTCGGGTCTTGACCAACCATTTTTTAAGGGTCAGCAAAAGACTCCCGGCAGGTCCATTTTGGAGGGCTCGGAGCCTTCTCCCTCTGCTCTTTTTTCGGCGGGCGGGGCGGGCTGCGGGTGTGTGGAGTCCATGTTTAGTGGGAACACGAAGGCAGCGGCCGAAGAACTGGGACTCCGTAACTCTGAACTTTACCGTATTCAACTCACTGGCCCCCTCAAAGACCCAGAACTAAAAGCTGATCACCTTCTGGGTTGCCATGACTGAACTTGGTTGCCAAAATATTGAAGAACTGAGATGCACAGGACAAACGATGGTCTTGTGGTCTCGCCCCCAATTTGACCAAAGGGGAATGTCGAGCGAGCTACCCCCAAGGGACTGCTGGTTGAGCCTTGTGAACAGGATATGGGTCCGTCTTTTCTTGGGGGGGTACCCTTTTGTGGGGCTGCTTTAATGCAGACCCAGGATTAATAAACCCCCCCCTATTAAAGCGCCTGGTTTTCCTGGAAAATCCCTCGCCAATACTCGTTTAAATTGAAACCCAGAAATTTGCCCTGGCACCCCCACAATAACAAAAAAATTTGCCCGAAACCCCCCCCTATTAAAGCCCCCCTCCCCCAAACCCCCCGCTACATCATGCGTTTTTAATCTAATTTTAACTTGCCCAACTTTTGCACATGCAACAGCAGCACCCCCCCATTAGTAAAGCCAGCACCCCCCTATTAATCTACCATGTTTGATGCCCTGCTTTTGCACCCCCCCATTAGTAAAGCCAGCACCCCCCTATTAATCTACCATGTTTGATGCCCTGCTTTTGCACACCAGCTCCTTTTTTACTTGCAACCGCAGCACCCCCCATTAGTAAAGCCAGCACCCCCCTATTAATCTACCATGGTCGACGCCCTGCTTTTGCACCCCCCCATTAGTAAAGCCAGCACCCCCCTATTAATCTACCATGTTGGATGCCCTGCTTTTGCACACCAGCTCCATTTTTACTTGCAACAGCAGCACCCCCCCCCCATTACTAAAGCCAGCACCCCTCTATTAATCTACCATGTTTGATGCCCTGCTTTTGCACCCCCCATTAGTAAAGCCAGCACCCCCCTATTAATCTACCATGTTTGATGCCCTCCTTTTGCACACCAGCTCCTTTTTTTACTTGCAACAGCAGCACCCCCCCAGTAGTAAAGCCAGCACCCCCCCTATTAATCTACCATGGTTGATGCCCTGCTTTTGCACCCCCCCATTAGTAAAGCCAGCACCCCCCTATTAATCTACCATGCTAGATGCCCTGCTTTTGCACACCAGCTCCTTTTTTACCTGCAACAGCAGCACCCCCCCCATTAGTAAAGCCAGCACCCCCCTATTAATCTACCATGGTTGATGCCCTGCTTTTGCACCCCCCCATTAGTAAAGCCAGCACCCCCCTATTAATCTACCATGGTCGATGCCATGCTTTTGCACCCCCCCATTAGTAAAGCCAGCACCCCCCTATTAATCTACCATGTTTGATGCCCTGCTTTTGCACCCACTCTGTTGTAAAGCCAGCACCCCACTATTAATTACCATGTTTGATTGCCATGCTTTTGATCCACCGATTCCTTTTTTACCTGCAACAGCCGCACACCCCCCATTTGTAAAAGCCTGCTACCCCCTTATTTATCTACCCATGTTTGATGCCCTGCTTTTGCACCCCCCCATTAGTAAATCCAGCACCCCCCTATTAATCTACCATGCTTGATGCCCTGCTTTTGCACACCAGCTCCTTTTTTACCTGCAACAGCCGCACCCCCCCATTAGTAAAGCCAGCGCCCCCCTATTAATCTACCATGTTTGATGCCCTGCTTTTGCACCCCCCCATTAGTAAATCCAGCACCCCCCTATTAATCTACCATGCTTGATGCCCTGCTTTTGCACACCAGCTCCTTTTTTACCTGCAACAGCAGCACCCCCCCATTAGTAAAGCCAGCACCCCCCTATTAATCTACCATGTTTGATGCCGTGCTTTTGCACCCCCTCATTAGTAAAGCCAGCACCCCCCTATTAATCTACCATGCTTGATGCCCTGCTTTTGCACACCAGCTCCTTTTTTTACCTGCAACAGCAGCACCCCCCCATTAGTAAAGCCAGCACCCCCCTATTAATCTACCATGTTTGATGCCGTGCTTTTGCACCCCCCCATTAGTAAAGCCAGCACCCCCCTATTAATCTACCATGCTTGATGCCCTGCTTTTGCACACCAGCTCCTTTTTTACCTGCAACAGCAGCACCCCCCCATTAGTAAAGCCAGCACCCCCCTATTAATCTACCATGTTTGATGCCCTGCTTTTGCACCCCCCCAATAGTAAAGCCAGCACCCCCCTATTAATCTACCATGGTTGATGCCCAGCTTTTGCTACCCCTCCCATTAGTAAAGCCAGCACCCCCCTATTAATCTACATGTTTGATGCCCTGCTTTTGCCACACCAGGTCTTTTTACACTTGCAACAGCGGCACCCACCTTAGTTAGCCAGAGACCCTCTCCTATTAATATATCCATGTTTGATGCCTGCTTTGGCACCCACCCATTAGTAATAGCCAGCACCCCCTATGTTAATCTACATGTTTGATGCCCTTCCTGCTTTGCCACACACAGCTCTCTTTTGTTACCATGCACAGCAGCACCCCCCCAGTAGTAAAGCAGCCTCCGGGGCGAAACCACTACCATGGTTGATGCCCTGCTTTTGCACACCAGCTCCTTTTTTACCTGCAACAGCGGCACCCCCCCATTAGTAAAGCCAGCACCCCCCTATTAATCTACCATGTTTGATGCCCTGCTTTTGCACCCCCCCATTAGTAAAGCCAGCACCCCCCTATTTATCTACCATGTCTGATGCCCTGCTTTTGCACCCCAGCTCCTTTTCTTACTTCAACAGCAGCACCCCTCCCATTGATGAGGCCAGCACCATCTACAATGCTTGATGCCCTGCTTACAGCAGCACCCCACCATTAGTAAAGCCAGCACCCCCCTATTAATCTACCATGTTTGATGCCCTGCTTTTCATGCCCTGCTTTTGTACAGCAGCTCCTTTTTTATTTACTTGCAACAGCAGCACCCCCCCCCATTAGTAAAGCCAGCACCCTCTTATTAATCTACCATGTTCACACCAGCTCCTTTTTTACTTCAACAGCAGCACCCCTCCCATTGATGAGGCCAGCACCATCTACAATGCTTGATGCCCTGCTTTTACACACCAGCTCCATTTTTTGACTTGTAACAGCAGCACCACCACCATTATTGAAGCTAGACCCATCTAATATGTTTGATGCCACACCAGCTCCGTTTTTTACTTGCAACAGCCCCCCCCCATTATTAAAGCCAGCCTTCCCCCCCTATTAATCTACCATGGTTGATGCCCTGATTAATCTACCATGGTTGATGCCCTGCTTTTGATGCCCTGCTTTTGTACAGCAGCTCCTTTTTTATTTACTTGCAACAGCAGCACCCCCCCCCATTAGTAAAGCCAGCACCTCACGTCTTATTAATTCCTTTACATTGTTGTGATGCCCCCCATTTTTGTTTTTTGAGCTTTTTATTTATTTGCACACCAGCTCCTATTTTACTTTCTACGCAGCACCCTCCCCATTGATGAGGCCAGCACATTTCGTACATGCTGATGGCCCTGCTTTTACAACCCCCCCAAATAAACCAGCTCCAATTTTTTTGACTTGCAACAGCAGCACACACATTTATTGGACGCACCTCGCACCATCTACCTTTTGTTCTTATGTGTATTTTTTGATGCAGTGGTCTATTCACGTTGCTATGTTGATGCCTCCACCAGCTCCGTTTTGTTATTACTGGCAACCAGCCCCCCCCCATTATTAAGCCAGCCTTCCCCCCCCTATTAATCTTTCTACCAGGTTGATGCCCCCTCCCCCTCGCTTTTGCACCCCACATTGTAAAGCCAGCACCCCCCCTATTAATCTACCATGGTTGATGCCCTGCTTTTGCACACCAGCTCCTTTTTTTTTACCTGCAACAGCAGCACCCCCCCATTAGTAAAGCCAGCACCACCCTATTAATCTACCATGTTTGATGCCCTGCTTTTGCACCCCCCCCCCATTAGTAAAGCCAGCACCCCCCTATTAATCTACCATGGTTGATGCCATGCTGTTGCACACCAGCTCCTTTCTTAAATTTCTTGCAACAGCAGCACATCCCCATTAGTAAAGCCAGCACCCCCTTATTAATCTAACATGTTTGATGCCCTGCTTTTGATGCCCCCCCATCAGTAAAGCCAGCACCCCCCTATTAATCTACCATGGTTGATGCCATTCTGTTGCACACCAGCTCCTTTCTTAAATTTCTTGCAACAGCAGCACATCCCCATTAGTAAAGCCAGCACCCCCTTATTAATCTAACATGTTTGATGCCCTGCTTTTGCACACCAGCTCCTTTTTGTACTTCAACAGCAGCACCCCTCCCATTGATGAGGCCAGCACCATCTACAATGCTTGATGCCCTGCTTTGGCACACCAGCTCCATTTTTTGACTTGCAACAGCAACAGCAGCACCACCACCATTATTGAAGCTAGACCCATCTACCATGTTTGATGCCACACCAGCTCCGTTTTTACTTGCAATAGCCCCCCCCCATTATTAAAGCCAGCCTTCCCCCCCTATTAATCTACCATGGTTGATGCCCTGCTTTTGTACACCAGCTCCTTTTTTTATTTACTTGCAACAGCAGCACCCCCCCCCATTAGTAAAGCCAGCCTTCCCCCCCTATTAATCTACCATGGTTCATGCCATGCGTTTGCACACCAGCTCCTTTCTTAAATTTCTTGCAACAGCAGCACCTCCCCATTGCTAAAGCCAGCACCCCCTTATTAATCTAACATGTTTGATGCCCTGCTTTTCATGCC